TGATGAAAGAAGCAGAAAAAAACTTCAATTGAAAACTTCATTTCTGATGACAGTAAGTGAACATTATTAGTTTCATCTATTACATGTATGAATTCATGAGTATCTATTAATATCCTGAAAGTATCTCAGGAATTGATATTGAAACTTCATCTCACCCAAATTTAAAAGACTAACACAGAAATATGATTATGATACTGATCGTGTTTATTAGGTAATAATTAACACGATCGTTGATAATTAAATTAATCTAAAGAAGAGAGAGAGAGAGAGAGATAAAAAATTGTATATCTAACGAGATAAATGTCAGGATTCGTATTCATATCATCGTATTAATTATTAGAATTCAATTTCCTTTAGGAATATCAACTGAAAAATGTCATAGGTAATGAGAATAATTAGATCACTCAAACTCGAAAGTATATTATTAATATAAATTGTTCTTTAATTGTTGTTTTGATCATAATGTTCAGGAATCAGTGGAATTTTCTCTCTCTCCCTGAATTCTTGATATTAATCAAAATCTAATAACCGGATAACCTGAAAATGTTCAGTACTTGATACATTCCATGGTTACATGTTATATGAATATCAGGGGAAATTCAGTGAAAAATTCATTTTGATTGCAATAAAATGAAGTTGAAGCTCAATTTATTAATACTAAACAAATTTTATTAATTAACCATTGAGAAGATTGTAATTTATTCAACTTTAATTAATCCACTTTAATGAATAAATAAATATCATCTATCCTTCAATTAACTCATAAGTTTATCATGTTTATCAAGTTACAGAGATAATTTCACTTCTCACATAATCAGAATCAATATAATGGTTTAAGATTGAACAAAATAATTAATTTTAATTACTCTGAATATATAATAGTGTTCATGGTAATTGATTAATAATTATCCATGAAAACCAGTAATATAATATAAGTTTCAATGGAAAGTGAAACAAATGATAATACAGAAAAAAGTTTCTCGAAGTGAAAAACTTTTCAAAACTTTTTTCGAATCACTCAAAGTGCAACAGTTAAACCAACAATTAAATTAAGTATTTTGATTCAGTTTTTTTTTTACTCCATCAATACAATTCAACAACAATACAAAAGCAATAACCATTGATTACCAGTGTAATTAATATAATTCAGAATCGATAGCAATTGTAATATATATTAGGAAGAGGAAGAAAAAAAAAATCCCAAAGCAAACAACGATTATAATAATTATACGAATCATCAATGATAAACAACAATTAACTTAAGTAATCAAATGCAATAATCTTGATGGATGATAATCAACAAGTAGAGTACATGTATCTTAATTATATTATCATCTTAATTCAATAGATGACATTTTCATTTACCTTACTCACTCCCTGCTGACAATTCAACTTAAATCAATAACACACACACACACATGAACCCCATGTATCGATCGTAACCTGAGTTTTTTGAACATTTTTTTTCAAGAACTCACTCTATCATCATAGTCTTCATCATCTTCATCATCATAATCATCATCATCTCTTTCATATGTACTCACTTGGATCTAAATTTTTGTCAATGTTTTTTAAACATTATTTGAGTTTCAATGTGTGCGCATGGTGAATACTGAAACTCACACACAACAATCATTATCATGATGATTATTATTATTGTGGTTAACTGAATCGTGTATTCGTGATCACCAGAATCAAAAAGATTGACACAACTTTTATATATATATATATCAAAATATATTAATTGTTATAGCAACGAAATAACAATTTTTTGTTTCCTCATCATTTTCTGCATGGTTACCATCAGTTAACTTGAATCCAGAGGTTCAACTTTAATTTCAACCTTAAGGAGATTATCATTTGTCAACCAATTTCTTAAAGTTTCATCATTTAATTCAACCGATTTACTATTAATATCCTAATAATAATTAACTCCTGTCTCATGATTAACTTTGGATGTGTATGTGTGCGTTTAAAATTCAGCTACTAATTGATCGTATCCATTGTTTTTGTATCTTCTATTAGCGATTAATCAATAATCAGTTACAATGTTGAAAAATCAGCAACAAGAACCATTAATATCCGATAAAAAAGTTACTCCCAACTATTATTACCGAAAAAGTTGTTGATTGTTTATTAGTATTGTTTGTTTTTCTTATATATATATCACATTTACGATTGATTTTTTTTCTGGTTATATTGATTTGAGATCACAATAAGTAATCATACTGGATCATTCATCAACATTATTGAATCGTCATCAATTGACGCCAGGTATGGCCACACAAACGACACTCCATCAATTCATCAAGTGGTCAATCATCATACTTTCACTGGTCAATACAATAGTATTATCTGTGGACATAATTCAATCGATAACAAGTACAACAACAACTCCACTGAATTGGCATCAGTTAATGTTCATTGGATTTACTTATATTGTTTTCATGATTCCAGTTATCGGAGCCTGGAAACAGAATTACATGTTCCTAATATTGGGTGGAGTTGCCCTGGTTCTTTCAATAATCTACTCATACATGGGCCTTAAATCAACAAACGAGCTTAATTTGCCGATGGCGATGTTAACAGTGTTTACCTTTGGATACGCACTTCTAATAAGGAAACGCGATGCCTCGAGTTTACATACAAATGATTCATTCAACTGAACAACAAAAGGTTAAAATCAATACTCATGAAAGAAAATTTTCTCTCTCTTTCAATCTCTTTCACTCTCTCTCTCTTTCTCCATGATTATAATCGATAATCAACTGGATGATAATGACGATGATACACCTTGGACCATATAAAAAACAAAGAAATGAGTAGATATGTGATATTTACATCTACAAATGACCAATGGCTAATATATTCCAATCAAAGGGAAGGATAAAAATGAAAAACTTTGTTTCCATTGACACATTTTTCTATTATCTTGTACATTAATTATGATATTTTCCCCCTTAATTATCAACACTATTCACGATCAGAACTGTTTCCTCGATCTGTAAACATGATAGTTACAGAATATTGTTCATCATGGTAAAGAAAAAACATATTCAACACCCATTGAACATGGAGAAACATTGAACAAACAAAAAAGTGTAAAAAATAAAACCGATAATCTTACCGAACTACTGGATGGAACTAATTCCAATTTCAAGCTGAGATGATGAAACACCGGAGATAAATCAGAGAATTCAGAATCAGATGAATCTGTTAGTTCACCTGATTCAACCTGTTGTCTGAATATTTTATTCATCTTCTTATTACATCAAATGACAACAACTTTTTATTTCTCAGTCTATTTCCATTCTTATTCAGCTGATTTCATTTCAAATCTAATGTGAATACATTAATATTTAATATTATATTATCAAGAATAATAAATATCGAACTGACCAGTTTCGGATTGAATTGAATTACTAAAAAATTCAAGAGATTCTGATTGATATGAACTTTTTTTTCACAATAAGAATTCATTCCGATAAATCTCATGTTAAATGACATTTTTATCGTTTTATGTTTTCATGATACCTTTCAGTTGTCCATTCAACTTGTTCAGCTTCAGATAATTGATTCCTTCATGTTACATGATATCCTCATTATAATAGATTCTTAGTCATGATAATAACTAATCAACAATAACTTGAAACTTTCGGATAACTTTTTTTATGAAAAAAAAAGCCATAACCGATTGTGAGATTGATTCAATTTTTATCATTTGTTTTACTTTTGATTATCTGAAAAATAATTAAATTGATGATTTTCTTATTGATTTTGTAATCATTTCTTTAAACCTGAAACAATTTTTCATGATAATTGCTGATGATCTGATTGAATAAGCATGGAAATTGAATGATCATCTCTCTGGAATTGTTATCAATATAATAACAATAACTCTCAGGATAATATTTTTTTTATCGATTTCAAGGTGAATAATAATCTTCTGAGTTCTAAGATCACGTTGAAAACGATGGAAATGAATTCGTGAAAATCTTATCTTTCACTTCCTTGGTGTTAATCTCTGTGAAATTAACAATAAGAAGATTAAATTGTTCAACAAATAATCTCCAATCAACTGAAATCAGAGAATCTTCTAACTGTCACAATCAATTTATTCAATTTGATTGTAATGATATTTTCTCTAGTAAAATGATAACTTATCGAGCATTTAATCAGATCAAATTGACAATTGACCCATTTATAAAGTTCATTACATTTCCTATCAGATCATCAATTCAGCAAATGTAAACTTTTTATATTTCAGGTAATCAAAATCCGACAGGTAGCTAATTCAGTTGTTATACCAGAATTTGAGAAATAACAAATCAATAGGATTTAAAGAGCATTATTTTTAAGATCATCAAGTTTCAAGTTGAGTTAATCTCTATTTCTAATTCATAGATTTTTCACTAAATTAACCAAAGGTGAATTTGAAAGTTTCAAACATTCGTTTTGATATGATAAAGTTTATCTGAAAAGTGTCCAGTGGACACTGTCCAGCGATCGCTAAGTAAACACAAACATTTGTCTGGTTATTTTTTACAGACTCAAAAACTTTTCCTTTTTCTTTTTCTTTTTATTATTATTATATTTTTTGCTCGATCCTGGACAAACCGAGAAACAAAAACGACTTTTCCTCATCACATTTTATCTCTTCTTCTTCTTGTGTTGACCTTTTGTTTGACCAGAGGTCAGCTGTAGATACACAGATATAAACACATATTACAAACTGTCCACTTGTTCATACAAAACAGTTAATCTTTTCTACTTGACCATAGAAAAGAAATAGAAAATTCAAAACAAAACTGTAACAATTTCAACCCGAAATTTAACTTTCAATGTTTAATTATAACGATCAATCATTGTGAACAAAAATATTTCGATAATTAAATTTGGATCGTTAATTTTTTTGTTAATTTTTTCTTTTGGTATAATATTCAAATCGCGCGCCTTTTCTGGTTTCTATGGGTCTCCAACCGGTTCAACTCAATGAAATGCAATTTTTGTTTAACAATCAAGATTTGATCAGCATTTATTTTGATTTTTTTCTAATTGTGAATTTATTAATTGCTGTAAATCTTATTGATTGTTAATTAGATTTTCTACTGTCATGGCTGCTGCTGTTGCTTCATCAACGAATCCTGTGTCGGTTCCTGACCAAAGAGAGAGGATTATTGCTGAGTATAGGAAGAAAGTGCAAGAACACCAAGATTATGAAGCGAGGCTTAAACAAGGTAAGAGTTTTAACTATTTCTTTTTACATTTTTTACCATTGTCATTGTAATTATGTTAACTAATGACTGTTTTTTTCTATTCTCTTTTGTCCTTAACAGTTAGGGAAGAGTTAAAAGAGAGCAACAAGCAATTCCAAAAAAGTGAAGCTGATTTGAAAGCCCTTCAAAGTGTTGGACAAATTGTCGGTGAAGTCTTGAAGCAGCTGACTGATGATAATTGTTAGTATCTGAAATGATTGTCTTATATAAATTTTGTGATTAACCAATTTAATGATCTTAATGGTTAAAAATGGTTGTTATAAGATGATTTTGTCTGATTGGATCTTTTTCTTTTTTTTTCTTTTGCTTTAGTCATTGTCAAAGCTACTAATGGACCTCGGTATGTTGTTGGTTGTCGTCGACAGCTTGATAAAAGTAAACTTAAATCTGGTACTAGAGTTGCTCTTGATATGACTACTTTGACAATCATGAGATATCTTCCTCGGGAAGTTGATCCTTTGGTTTACAATATGTCACATGAAAGTCCAGGTGATGTTAATTACTCAAGTATTGGTGGTTTGGGTGAACAGATTAGAGAATTGAGAGAAGTCATTGAATTGCCTCTTTTAAATCCTGAACTTTTTGAAAGAGTTGGTATAACACCACCTAAAGGTTGCCTTCTTTATGGACCTCCTGGTACTGGTAAAACTCTTTTGGCTCGAGCTGTAGCTTCACAAATTGAGGCCAATTTCCTCAAAGTTGTATCTTCTGCAATTGTTGATAAATATATTGGAGAAAGTGCTAGGTTGATTCGAGAAATGTTCAACTATTCTCGGGATCATCAACCTTGCGTTATTTTCATGGATGAAATTGATGCCATTGGTGGTAGAAGATTCAGTGAAGGTACTTCAGCTGATCGAGAAATTCAAAGAACATTGATGGAATTATTGAATCAAATGGATGGTTTCGATGCCTTAGGCCAAGTTAAAATCATTATGGCCACAAATCGACCTGATACCTTGGATCCAGCTTTACTTCGTCCCGGAAGATTGGATCGTAAAATTGAAATACCTCTTCCAAATGAACAAGGTCGATTAGAGATTATGAAAATTCATGCTCGTCCAATAGCCAAACATGGTGATATTGATTGGGAAGCTATAGTTAAATTGTCCGATGGATTCAATGGTGCTGATCTGAGAAATATTTGTACTGAAGCAGGTCTTTTCGCTATTCGAGCTGAAAGAGAATACGTAATTGAAGAAGACTTTATGAAAGCCGTTCGTAAAATATCCGATAATAAGAAACTCGAAACAAAATTGGACTATAAGCCGGTCTAAAGATATTAACACTTTTTTTATGTACCAACCAAGGATATAATACTAAAACAATATGAAAATAAAAATTTTTGGTAAGATTAATTATCGTCCTTTAATAATTAGGACAATTTTCAACTAACAAATCGACTCGAAGCAAATAATTTTCTAAAATCCAATCGTTGAAAGTTGAAATTGTTACAGTTTTGTTTTGAATTTTCTCTTTCTTTTCCATGGTCAAGTAGAAAAGATTAACTGTTTTGTATGAACAAGTGGACAGTTTGTAATATGTGTTTATATCTGTGTATCTACAGCTGACCTCTGGTCAAACAAAAGGTCAACACAAGAAGAAGAAGAAGAAGAAGAAGAAGAGATAAAATGTGATGAGGAAAAGTCGTTTTTGTTTCTCGGTTTGTCCAGGATCGAGCAAAAAATATAATAATAATAAAAAGAAAAAGAAAAAGGAAAAGTTTTTGAGTCTGTAAAAAATAACCAGACAAATGTTTGTGTTTACTTAGCGATCGCTGGACAGTGTCCACTGGACACTTTTCAGATAAACTTTGTCATATCTACATTATTATGATTAACAATATTGATTATCAACATAATCATGTCAATTATTTACTGTTTCAAAATGTTTGTTTATTTGTTTTATCTGATGAAACGATTTACCTGTAAACAAAATGTGAGCCATTATACTGGTGGAAGGAGGAAAATAAACAAAAGGGACAATAAAAGGTAAATTGAAAAAGGGAAACCCCGTTATATTAATGAGGTAAACAAAAGGTTGACAGGTAAGGTTAAGAAAAGGTCGCCAGGCTCAGTTAAGATAACAAGTTAAGTAGATGATGATGAAGATGAGAAGATGAGAGTGATGATGATGGAGAAAAGGATGAAAAGCAAAGTAACAAGAGGTCACTGGTCATTGCCGCAGGGCTCAAGGTGTGTTATTGAGATAATGATGAGAGAGTATCATAGATAATATTACAGGTAAAAAGATACTGTGAGGTCCAAAAAGGTTACCCTCAAATTTTGACCATCAGCCCGCTAGTTTTGTTGATATTAACACTAAATTGTTAACATTTTTCATTTACCTGTACTTCAAATTATTCAATCAATTGCTAATTCTTGGTGATTTTCAAGATTCTGGTTTCATTTTCCAATTTTTGTGAGAAAATTTTTATGATAATTTAAATTCCTCAACAAATAATAATAATAATAGTCACATAATAACACAATCAGTTAATTGAAGAGGCAAAAACAAAATCAACTAATACATAATCAATTTACCTGTAAATTGATAATTCAATTAATGCAACCGATAATGATGATGATGATGATGATGTTGTTAATGATGATAATTAAAAACATTACCATCTAAATTTTGTCCAAATCAAATTACAATTATTATTATTAATCAATGTCAAATGATCAACAGAAATTGATTGTATTTGTTAATTGTTATTACAGAAAGAAGCAAGAAAATAAATGATTACAAAAGTGGAAGAAAAAAAAAACTTTTTTCAAAAAGTTACGAACTTTTTTTTTCACCTTGATTATTGTTAAATTGTAATAATAATAAAAGATAAATACTTTACAACAGATTAGTTAATGAATAACTCAATTGTTACCAATGTTATTCAAGCCTTTTCATCATGATAATTGTTATTATCAATTGTCTACCTCATACTGTGAGACAAACCTGATTAACATGATTGCAACAATTTAATAACAATGAACACACAACTAAACGTTACGTTAAAAATATAATCTATCAAAGGTTAACAACAATCTAAATACATTTTGATGGATATTTATGTTTCTTAGATTCACTTTACTTTCATGGTTTCGCTATTTTTTTTTTGCCGACTTTAATTCTTGTATTATGATGATGATTATTGATTGTTGTTGTTTATTTGCCTGTTTAGTTGATTGTTGATGAAAATACTGATGATGATGATGATGTTTCTCTTCTTTCTCTTCTTACCTTTATTCTTGATCGGCCTTAACACTGGACATAACCTGTAATTATTTTTTACTTGACCGTTTACACTTTTTACCTGTGTGACTTTTGCAACTCAAAATGATAATAACATTTACTTATTTAGTTACTTTGCAACAAATCATATTCAATATGTTTGCCCCTTGTTTTATAAATTGTTGATTGTCTTGATTGCTTATTATTACAGTTAAATTGTTTACCTGTCATTTGCTTTAACAGTGTTAACCTTTCCGATTTAATATATTTACTATTATAAACCCTGGAGAGATTTGATCACTTGCTAATAATTTAGACTGTCAAAATGATTAACATTTAATTGTATCTACAGAAGCTGATTGATTATGTTTATATTTTGCATTTTGTTTCCAAATCAAATTTGAACCTTAATTTTTTGCTATTAATAATAAATTGTATTGATACAGTTACGATCGTGTAAGTGTATCAATTGATTGTTCAGATTGGTTGGTTAACAATAGAAGATGATAAATTTGATTGTTTATTATGATAATATTGGAATAATATCTTTTACAATCAGGTGACAGTTGGATAATCAGTTAATTATTAATAGTAGATTAGTGATCTCCGTTGGTTAAACTTTGTTTATATTTTTCGCATCGTTCCTTTGCTAATTTTACTTGTATCTTGATTTCCTTTGCATTGTCCATCATAATTGCCTGAAAAAGTGATTAGATGATTTTGAGAATTAATTGTTGATACAATAAACTTTAACTTTTCTCCAATTAACTTACGAAAACAGAAGCCATCATTGGATTGATCTTCGCACACGAAACCGAAGTCCAAATAAAATGAATTAGAACTTCACCATAATCGAGTTCTCTCTTTAGATGTTCAATTGTGTCAACTTGAGGATCGATTTCTCCTTTACGAACTTTAATCAAATGTTCTAAATAGACCTTGAGGGTGTGGAGTTTTTCTTCCGGTGTGGTGATCGTTTGAAAAGACCAAGTTTCAACTCGTCCTGGAATAAAACTTTTCAAGTAGAGAAACAAAGCTAAATCATAGGCTCGAAATCCATAACTACTGTTATCATAATCGATAATGAAGGCTCGATCGTCAAACGACTGACCGTTGGTTCTATCAAGTACATTTCCAAAGTGTAGGTCATTATGACAATAGACACACGGAGATTTGATGAAAGGCTCCATATCCCGAAGCCATTGAGCGTAACCAGCATGATCAAAATCAATCATGTCCTGAATCATGGGTCTCAAATGAGGTTCATATAAGTCAACATTCAAAAATTGATTAGTTTCCTTGCCCGATTTGTAAAGTCTTTCGGCCAATTTCACCAGAGACCAGGGGTCTTTAGAGATCGGCATTTCGAGTTGATGAATTTGAACCAACTTTCGTGTGAGACAATCAAGTAATTGCTGATTAGCCCATGATTCCTGGGGAAATTTATTACTCTATGAGGATAAAGATAATTAGCCATTGATCACTAACGGAATATTATTAGAAACTTACCTCGATGAAATGTTCAATTCGTCCTTCATCAAATACTCCATAGATTTTGGCTGCTAATCCTTTTTGGTGTAAAATCTCACCAATTAATGGAAGAGCATCTTTCGAGACGACAATCATGTCACCTTGATCACCGACGAATTCACTTCCATGTAATCGAACCAGAACTTTACTTGGAACATCAGATTTTAAGGTTGATTCTTTTGATTGTGATAACTTTAGATTGATACAAACGTAAATACGATTACTGAGTCCATCTCTGTTATACAAATTGATTGGAAACAATTGAAACTGATTAGTTAATTGTTATGATGATGATGTAAACACTTACTCCACTGGTTCGATGATTGTTTCTTCCGCTTTTAAATCACTCCAAGGGCCACCAAGATATTCACCACAAATTTGTCTACAACGATCACGAATCTCATCGTTAATTGTAAAATCAACCAATTTTAATTGAGACACATCAGGTAATTCATTGGGCTCTTGTTGATTGTCCATGTTGATTGTTACACGTTAGATGAATCTGATCCAGTGAAAATGGAAACTTGAAAGTAGTTAGTCAACTCGATTAAATTGCTCTCAACAATTTAATTGCTAGAACCATGGGAACGTTAATTGTTTATGAAAAGAGAAAATTGAAAATAATCAAAAGAAATTGATAAAAAGTCCTTGGGCTTATAATCATTAAGATTTTCAATTGTTCAATTGTTAAACCGACTCAATTATAATCACGATTTTAATCACAATCGGTTGACAATGGTTAACCAACAAGTGCTTTTCAACTAAACTAATCAAAGGTAAATAATCTTTGCGCCAGAGATTAAATTGTTTACTAATTGTTCCCCACTTGAAGGGCATTAATATCCCACTAATTAATCTGCAATTAAATTATACTGGGGAAAAAAAAGAGACCAAACTGAGACTATGACCGATGGGGCTTTGAGGTCGCAGTTCAACAGGTCAAATTTTCCCGTTTCTTGTTCAATTAGCGATAAACAATTTACCCAAATACAACAATCAACCTTCAATCCAGTGTATTAATTAGTATTATATTATGTGTATACATTGGATTATAATTACGGTGCAATGTTTTCGTTGAACCTCAAAACAATTAGGTTAATATGAAACAATTAAGCTGAATTATTTTCTCAACTATTTAATCGTTGATTGTGATTAAATGTGAAATATTAACAAATTGATAGATTGTAATTGTATTTTCAACGTTGATTTTTGTTTTATTATCAATTGTTGTTATCCACAATTTATTGGAACAGGAAGAAGAAGATGAAATAAAGTGAAATGAATGATTAAATTGTTTGTTGATTGTTGTTTTTCATGATTAATCCATCAAAATGAAAGCACAATTATTGCACAGTTAACATATAAGGCAAAGATATATAAGCATTAATTGTTTACATAAATATTATATAATATGTATAAAGAAGTGTTGGTTTTCCAGTTTTTACTTTAACAGACAATCAATTGAACAATCAACATCATTTACAGTTGATTAAGAGATTGTGAATCTTTTGATTGTTTTTCCATCTGATATTAATTATCGTCATGATTGTGATGATATACAAAGAAAGAAAAACATCTTATTGATTGTTATTTTCGTAACGAATTGAATATCTTTGCAAAGATATTGATTCGAAAACGGGAAAACTGTTAATCTGATAATCTGATGATGATTACACATCCTTTTCAATGTTCATTTCATTTCCTGTTTATCGGGGAAAAACTATGAACAAGGTGAGTAATTGTTGTTTCATTGTCATCGATGATTATGATTATGATGATTCCAATGAGATGATTTGATGAGTAATAATAGTAGAATATAAAAACTCTTGTTAATAAACTTGATAGTTGATGAAATTGTAGATGATAATCAATTGTTGTCAAAAGATTCAATAGCAATCAATGTATTGCAATGTATTGTGAATAATAAGTTTGCAATTATGTGTTTCCTATTTTCTGTAACATTGAATTAATTGAGTTTTTTGACCAACAGTTAATTATAAAAAGTGCGATGTTAATATCTGTGAATCTCATAATATCCTCGTGTTGATATAATGATGATTAATCCTTTTCCAAGAAATGTAGAGTTGTTTATACGAATAGAATATGTGTAAATGGTTGTTGAGAGAGTGCAGAGGATGATGATGATGATGATAATGAGAAAAGGGAGATGATGAAAAGAATAAGGAGAATAAAAAGAGAAGAAAACGAAAGTTGAGATGAATAAATCAGTAGAAACAGTTAAATATCATCTGATTGTAAATGAAAACTTGAAGGTGGAAAGAGAAAGAGAGATGATGAGGAAAGAAAGGAACAGAATTTCATTTTCGTTTATAAAGAGAGAGAGAGAGAGAGAGAGAGAGAGAGAGATGAAAACGAAATGAATTGAAGCAAAGAGAGCAAGAGAAAGTAAATATTTGGCACAGAGAGATTCCTGATCAATAGCTTCTTGTGTTTGACCTGCAGCTAAGCCTACAGCTCATCGAGGTTTCCCTTTAATTTTTTGCTTATTTTCATGCTCTCTCTCTCTCTCACTTTCTCTAGAGGTGGAAACGAAAGAGCGAAAGATGATAGAGGAAGAGGGAGGGAGGAAAGAGCAAGGGAGAAGGAGAGATGAGCAATGATGAAATGATTGGTCGCTTTGCACTGTTTATGCCTCGTAAATAATTACATGTACATAAGAAAAAGGCTTTCTGGTTAAACATGATTAGAAACGATAATTGTCTCTCCTTTTGTGTTTGTCCTTCGCCTTTGTTATAAACCAACAATATCATTATCTCGTTGAGAAGTGATGTTAACAGGAAAATCAACAGAAGCTAAAAAGTTCATGTACTTTATTGGCTTAAGAAATGAGACATTTATTGTCATCATTGTCAAATTATCTGGGACGGTAAATGTTGTTGTTGTTGTTGTGTATCAATTTGATTGATTTATCGCAGGTTTGGGTGATTGGACTTTTGTATGACACTTTTTGGTAATTTATCGTTTGCTTTTTTTAAAGATTCATACAAGTTAATGATTGTTTTAACAGGGGCTCGAATCAGAGAGATAGAGAGAGAGAAAGAAAGAGAGAGGATATTATTGTAAACAATCATAATTCAGGTATAAAAGGTTAATTTTGTGCGAACAGGAAATTGGATCAGAGTATCAGAGTTCCGCTGGTGATTGCAATTTTCATTTGCAATTAGAATGATAATCAAAATGAAACAGATGAATATCAAGATTGGAAGAAAATGAAATAGCTAAGCTTTTAAGTCATTGGCTTTTCGTTGCTTCAAAGTTTTTTGCTTTGGGTGTTTGAGTCAATGACAGAATTTGATTAAGGCACTTGAACCTTTTCTTGCTCGTTCAGAATTCAGATGTTTAGCAAAATAATCATCAATTTCTGGTATTGGCATCGACTCTAGAAATGGATATTCAATTTCATTTAGTGTTTGTAGTTATTACTTTCACAAGGATGATGATGATGATGATGATGGTGACAATGGAGACTCTTGAGAGTTGCATTAGTCACATTTCAAGTAAAGATGAGAGTGCATATTAATCACAAGTTGATTTGATGAATTGGATGCACAATCACAGAGAGAAATTAAGTTTTCATGTTGACTTTGTGATCGATTGACATTTCCCAGAGTAATCCAGTCTGTTTATAATCTTCCATTGATGTTCAATTCTCACCCTTCATTTAGAATGATATGATTAACCAATATCTTCCAAATCAACTTAGTTCAATAAGATTAAACTTACGAAAAATTAAGAGATTAACATCAATTGTAATAGTAAATTGATATTGATTGGCGAAAGAAGATAACATGTAAAATTTGATATTATCTTTGAATTTCTCTCTCTCTCTCTGATTGTTGTGTATTTGAGCCAAGATGAAGATAAAATAAGAGGATGAATCGAATCATTTTGCACCATGAAATGCACAATAGTCAGGATAGAAATTTGGACGTGTTAAGAGGATGATGATGAAGATTTGATACAGTTTAGAGTTGAAATAATAAAAGTCTTTAACATGGATAATTAAAATTTGATAACTTTTGTTTAACACTAGCAAACTCAATCTCTCTCCACTAATCGTTGTGAACTTATTCTAAGTTGACGGAAAGCATCAGTTGCAACAAAATCGATACTTTTATATACTGTTGACTGAGAACCACTTAAACTGGATGTTCCAATGAGATCCTTTGAATGATTCAACGATGACTTGAATGGATCAGATGAATTAGATGAACGTGAACGAGGTGAATCTTTGCCTTTACTGTTTCCCATTAGATCAAGATCCAGGTAAGTTACATTTGGAGAGTCGATTGGTGATTTTCTAGGAATAGTATAAGCGCGACGAGACTAAAATAGAGAGAAAAGAAGAAGAAGAAGAAGAAGAAGATGGAAAAATAGAAATGAGAATCGAGTTGAAGGACAAATTGTGAAGATAATTATCATGTTTAGTTAAATATTGCAAGAGAAATAAAATGATTCAAGGACAAACCTGATCGTCTAAAGATGAATTTCGTTTATGGAAAATGGAAGAGTGACTGATTATATCTTCATCTGAATTTGATTCATCTCGAGTAACATGATGTTGAAATTGTCTTCCTCTTGAAGGAACTCGAGGTGGCCCATCAGCCAAGTGTCTTTATGGTAAACATTTAAAGATTAGAATAAATTAATTTATCCCTTTAATCAAACAAATGTGAATCAATAGTTTAAAAAGAGTAATTACCTTGTTGGTTTAATATAAGATTTCGAGTGAGCTGGTGGAGGTGCGAGAGTAAATGTTGGACTTGTCGGAGAAACATTTGTATCAGAATCAGAGTCTCGTCGTTTTGGCTTTAAATCTCGATTAACTGCCGGAGGTGTGAGACTTTTGGACAGAGAGCCGCTTGAAGAAAGCGAATCAAATGCAGAGTTTGGTGTAGATGGAGATCGATCACAATTATCCAAATCAAAAGCAATCGTATTATCGTCTAGATAAACAGGTAAAGTTCCCTTGTAATCGTAAGTGAAAACTGGAGGTTTACTTAAATGACCTGGAGGCGCATTAGTGTAAGAATGACTGTTCCCTTTGGTAGTTCGGTTACCAGGAGCGGGAATTGCAGTTCTCATGCTATTAAATACTGGTTCTGATTTTGGGAAATCATAAACATCATCAAGAGTTAATGGTTGAGAGGTTGGGGTGTTTACTATGTTGTTGTTATTGTTGTTGTTATGTTGATTATTATGTTGATTGTTATTGTTGATAATGTTGTTGATGTTGATGTTAATGTTGTTGTTTGAACTTGAATTAATGGTGGGATTAAATTGGCCTGATGGTGACGATGGTGAATCTAAATGACTATTGAATGGAGTTGAAGGTGATAAATGATCGTTGCTATTAAAATGGTTTGTTCCATAAGCAGGAGAGCAACTTTCGGATTTGCTTCGATTGTTCAACTTCTTAGGCTTGGGTGGCCTTGGCGGTGGTTCATTCCTGTAGCTTGAATGGCCAAATTCACCATTGGGCTTACTGACTCGACTACGAAGGGAAAGAGTTGAATTGTTGGAATCGGAGAGACGCTCATGCCGATTGAGTGTATGACTCAATGGACCAACAGTCAGATTGTGAGGTTTGCTTTTACGAGCATTGAGTGTGTGGGACGATGAGAGAGAGAGACCAGTGGATGGAGAGTTGATCAGGCGCTACTTTGGTGAAGACACTTGAACGAGGAACATCATAGTTGGTCACCTGATGATGATTGTGATTCAGGTTATGGTTATGATGGACCCCAGGGCTGGGGGTCAGTTGCTTGTACCCCAGTCCATGAGACTGATGAATTGGATGGTGAACACTGGAAGATGAACAAGATGGCAGAGGAGGAGGGGGAAGGTGATGGTTACTGTTAGGATAACCTTTGAAAGAAACTGGTTTCCCAGTATAACATTCAGATATAGGGATGTAAGGCCCAGAAGGTTCGTCGTCAAAATCAATTGGTACTTTAGTTGCTTGGGATGAAGATGCTTCTTTTGACTGGATCATTTGTATTAAGATCAATTGGATTGTGAGGACGATGGAAACAACAACAACAATGGCGGAAAAGGCACAACATTAAATTGAGAGAGAGAGAAAGAGAGAGAGAGAGAGACACTTGTTGCAGTTCTCGGAAAAGCAGGAGAATAGAATTGAATTGAAATGAATTAAAGAGACTCAAAGGAAGAGCAGAAGATGAAGAAAAGTGAAGATGAAGATGATTTGGTTGGAAGAGAAAACATTTAAACGTCAATTAATGCGAAGAGATGGTTGATTGTGATGGAGAGAAGAAAACGAAACTGTAATTGCTGCGAAAAGAAAGTGTTGCATTAATGTGAACAATTATGGAGAAGCAAAAGTGAGGGAAATTTAATAAAATGGTCGAAATTGAATTGGAATAAAAAAGAAAAGAAAAAAAATGTTCTTTTCTTTTGACCTACTACTTTTCGCTGTTTAGGACGTTATGAGAATGTGAGAAAATGAATCAACAAGATGAAGATGAGAAGATGAAGACCAGGCCTCTCTCTCTCTCTTTTCTCTCTCCTTCTCTTCTCTTTCTTTCTCTCTTTCTCTTTAATCGAAATTAACTGAAAGACTTTATCTTCTCTCTCTCTTTCTATTTCTATTCTCCTTTTCTCTTCTCTTCCTGTCTCTTTTTTCTCATCTCAATCTTCCTTTAGTCTCTTCGTTCTTCTCTCTCTCATTCGCTGGAATCCAGTCTCACTTTTCTTTTTCTACCTGTCTGAAGATTATCATCATTCTATTCATCGTTAACTAATATTCTCTTTTTAGTATTTGTTACAACGAAATAATTTCTCCATTTTCACCGATTCTTTTTTTTCTTCTTCGTTTTCTGCAGAAAAACTTTTGTACACTTAATTTCTGTTCGAATTGCAGAATTTTCTTCATGTCAAGTTTATAGAATTTGATTATTTACGTTATCGAGAGACGAAAAGAGAGAGAGAGAGAAGAGAAAGAATGAGAATCATGTTGGACAACAGGTTCCTGGTTATTCCTTGTTATCCAGGTTTAGCTGATGGATAACATTCCTTTTATCATCTTCTAATTTTCTTCTCTTTCTTTTAAGACATCAAGGTTTTCTCAGCCTTTCGCAGTTTTCATCTTCTTCTTTCTTTTTCTTCTTCTCTCATCTTTCGATCACCTTAACCATTGTTACAGTAAAGAAGAAGGAGAAGAAGAAGAAGAAGAAACTGGCGAAAGATGGAAAAGAAGAAGAAGAAGATGATGAGAAGGGGAAGGTAAAATTCTTGCAGCAGGGATAATCTATCACCAGGGTGGTCTTCATCTTCATCTTCTCTTTCTTCGGGCTCTCTCACACTCTCAGAGTGAGCTTGTTACTTGTTCAATTCCGGGGCCAACTTAACTTTCTCTCTCTCTCTCTCTCTCTCTCTCAACTATAATTGCAACACGCAGTGAGAAACATTCCTTATAGCAACTCAATCCTTCATCATCATCGTTTCAGCCTCTTTACCCTGCAATTTATCAACATTTTTGCATAAACAAGGTAAACCACCGAAAAGCTGAAAAAAGCATAAGCCTTTATCGCTCCTTCTTCATCTTCATCATCATCATCATCTCTCTCTTTCTACTTATCCTCATTTAATCAATAATTTACTTTGCACTTATCACAATCACAATGAATGCGAATTGCAAAACTCACCAGTTATCCTGTTTTTTTAGACAAATGTGCATCTCAATTTTCAAAATGCAATGGAGCTCAAAATGGATCAATTTTTGCAATATCGTTAATAAATTTCCTTTAACGAAGCACAATCACAATTAGATGATATTTAATGTAAATTATTACACTTATTTTCATCTAGTCCGATGTGGTCTAGTGGCTAGGATATCTGGCTTTCACCCAGAAGGCCCGGGTTCGATTCCCGGCATCGGAGTAATTTTTTGTTCATTCTCATGAGAAGAGAGAGAATTTCAATTGAATTAACTAATTGCAAGTCTTGGAAATTGGTGTTCAATGAACTTTTGATAATAAAAATGATGGAAAAACATTGAATGGAAATTGAATGTTATTTTTTTTTAGAATAAAAGAAAATTTAAAGTTTATCTGGGATCAGATGTTAGAGATGATGATGAGGATGTGGTTGGAAAGAAGAAGATGAAGAGTGAGAATAAGTGAGAGAGTAAAGAATAACATGGGGAGAGAGAGGGCGGCAAGAGGAGGATAAAGAGAAGATCGACTTTGTTGCGGGCCTCTTTTCTTCTTCATCATCATCTTCTCATCAGAATCCGGGTTTAAATGGTTTACCAATGGAGAGTTTAGTCCAATAAAGCTTCATCATCCTTCATCCTTGAGGATATTGAAGATCGTTGGGCTATTCAGTTGACCTGGAATAGAATGAGAGAGAAATGATAATGATGAGAAAATGAGAGGCGAGATTCAACAATCTAAATCAACATCGAATTGAAATTTAGTTACTTGTTGTGGTCAATTAATTGTGTCCAGCAAATGGTCAATTTTCGAGATTCATTTAGTTTAGTTTTTTTCTATCACAAGTTTTAATTGCTAAAACTATTCCAACAATTGAACTAACGAAATGAGAATCAGAATTCAGGCCTAGATTATTGCAACGAATTTAAGTTTATCGTCTAATTGGAGACCAATTTAGTTGATTTAGTTTGAAAGGAATCGTTTTGGAAATTTTTGCAGAATCTGATAATATGAAGATGAAGTTATTAGAAATGCAATTATGATTTGGAATCATTAATTTGTGACAATCAATTTAGTTTCTTCTTTTGATTTTAATAGTACAATTTGATTGGATTGTTGTGAGTTATTATATAGTGTAATTGGTTTGGTAAAAAGTTTTGATTAATTGATTTTCAGTATTTCTTGGTGGAAATCATGATTATTGATTCTCTCAGAGTTTCTGATTGCAATGATTAAAAGAAAAAAAACAGAATTTAATTGTTAGTTTATATTGTGGATCGACTTTATATTCTGTTAGTTTTTCCTTTGCTTTTGGCTCATGTATCAAGAGTGTTGAGTAAATTGTAAGCTCTCGATTGATGCGAATTAGTAAATTTGTATTAACTTTTTTCCATAGTTGATTAGCCTTCTCGTGGTGATCAAACTGGTGGAAATTTAGCTCGATTTGAAGATCTTTAATTTTAGTCAAGTGTTTGTTTCCTTTGATCACTGGATTAGATTTAAAGATGATTATGCAGTTGATTCGAGAGTTGGATTCAGTAATGTGATCAATATGTAATCTTTGTCTGGAAAGGAAAAGAAATGAAAAACAAATAATTACAAATGACATCAAATGTGTAAGATAGATTGTTGAACCATTTGCTTTTCAAATTGTGATTGATTTTCCATTTGTCATTGAGGGAAAGTCAGAAGACAATAGTTGACAAAAATGATCGGTGATCATTTCATCAATGACAATTACAAATTGGTCACGATCAAAGTATAGAACTGATTAATAGAATTTAGATGAAAGTAATTTATTAAATTACCTTGAGAATAAAGAATGAAATTGAAGATAAAAAAGAAAAATCAATTGACAATCTACTCACCAGGAACAACAATAAATTCAATTCTTTTAGTTCGTATCTTTAGAAAGGTAAGTTCATCATTCATATACTCTTTGTCTTTAAGAGCCATTCGAGCCTTTTCAACGATGTCACAAATTATGTTGGCATAACTTTCTGATGATTCCTTGTTCTCGGATAGAGTTGATTTAATTATGTTCCCTTCATCATCGGTAACAATAACTCCCATCACCGATTTGTGAGTACTTTCAATACGTTTAAGGGTTTCTTCAATTTCTGCCTTCAAACCATACAAATCAAAACAGAAAACAGAAAATAGAAAATAGAAAAACAAAAATTAGTAATCACACAAATGACAATTTTCATTTCATTCTATTCATTTCTCAACATTACAACTTACATTCATTGTTTCCTCAATAACCGGAGAGATGGACTATAAAAATACAAGTAAAATTATTGTGAATCTAAAGTTGAATCAATTAGATGATTAAAAAGACAATTAAATGTTGATAGAAATTGAGAGATGAAATGAAAACAAAAATTAAATTTCTGTTTCCATTGACAACTAACATTGTAAACAGAGACAAAAACGTTAACCGAATTGATCAGAAATTTGTGCTGCCATCTCTTGACCCTGAAACTCACTAAGGAATAAATTGAATAAATTGATCGAAATCATCTGGAAATGAATTGGTGATTAAACTGATTGATTAAAAAAAGCAATTTGGACCGACAGGCTCGAGTCAAGTTTCTCTCTTTCGATTTTGCTTTCTATTTCTAATTGATTCAACTGATTTCATAGAATATCAAAACTTTTTGATTACTTGTTGTTTCTATTTTTCCCTCATCTTTGGTGAGAAACTGGAAATTGTAAATTTTGATCAATTTAATTTGAATTGATTAAATTTCCTCCATTACATTTGCTTGTAGTGATTACCAAAGATGTTCCATTTTGTTGTTGTAAGCTTAATATTTGTTTTGTCTGGTATGTGTATAATATATCGTATTTTATGTACAAGTATAAGTAGGATTAATCCTGACATTTTCTTCGTAACTTTTTACAACAATCAATCAGTCGAAAAAAAAACAAAATGTATACATTTATTATTAATCGGTATTAATATTTTTCGAAAGGATTAACACTAGTATCCATTTTGGTAGGATAACTTTCAACAGGCGACCCTAATTGGTGGAATGAGTCCATTTGTTGAGTTAAGCTTAAAAGTCCTCCTTCAGCGACTGTGATTATCACCCAAATTATTTCTAAACATTAAAATGAGTCCAAATCCATAAAAAAAAAGTTAAAATCAGGTGAAGAAAATAAAACATCAATTAGATGACATAATTTAAAATTAGGTGAAACAAAAAGATAGAGTAAGATTAACTCAATCAATATCTTAGGGAAAATTGAAATATCAATAAGTTAATAGGATAGTAAATATAATTGTATACATAAATTCAACAACTGACCTCCAAAAAATTGACCAATGGCTGTACTCATCCTCCATTGGCCTTGAAATATGCCAGACATGGCTGGACTTATCATTTCTAAAGACACATCGGCCATCTGTCCAGGCTCTAAAGGATCTACAACAACTCGTTCACAATTTCCCATTAAATGGCCATTTATAAATCGTAAAGAACATCCTTGAGGCCACCTTTCCGTCCCTGAAAAAAGAGAAGATGAAACAAAACAAAAATAAGAGAAAATAGAATCATTGAGTAAGAATGGGAAGAGAACAGCTTGTTTTTCAGTTTTATAGGAACAAAAATAAAGAAGAAAAAAAGTATGAAACCTACCTGAATTTAAAATTCTCCAAGTTTTAACAAATCGGGTATTTGGTGGAACCTCTTCACCTTCTCCTATGGTTACATCTTTGATAAAACTCATGACTGGTAATGATTCCATTCCAAGTTCTTTGGGTGCATCTAGGTCGAAGTATGAACAGATGGCCTGTTGAAGATTCCTAAGAAAAATTAAGAGAAAAAGAGGAACAAGAGACAAAAAAAGAGGATTAGCAATAAGATGAGATTTAAAAGAAAATGCGAAGCAAAAATCATTGAAAGAGAATCTACCATGGAAAAGGCAGATAAACATCAAGAATTGACTTTTCTTGCCAAATTATTATTACTCCGTCATAGTAAGTCAATGACTTTTTTGTTTACTGTGACATTTTTATGAGAAATTGCAAGCAGAACAAAGAGAAAGAAAGAGAAAAGGAAACAAGGAAAAAGGTAAGAGCAGTTAGAAGAGAGAGAGAGAAAAAAAATGAAAAAAGTACCAATTATTCATGTCCAGGAAGAAAGCACATCCTTCTGGTGACAGTTGGTTAGGTGAGAGTAATTTTTGGAATTCATTAATAAGAACATCTTTATCTTGTGTACCCATACACGAGAATTGTTGAAGAAGTGAAGATTCCAAATCGACAATATCACCATTGGCACCTTGAGCAGTCATTTTGGTTTATAAATATATAAATGTACTTTTGTTTCTCTTCTCACAGTATAGAGTAATAATAATAATACAAAAAAACAGCTATAGTAACAAATCTATTCTATTACAAGAAGGCTTGATCACTTCACAATAATATCTTCAAGTGGATATATTTAACTGGTGGAAAACAGAAAAGGGAGACAGAAAAGAGAGCAAAAAGTAAGAGGAGAAAATGAAACAGACAATGAAAAGAAGATGAAGAGAGAAAATAATCAACAAGGTGTAAACAAATTAACATAAAAATGGTTAAAAAAATGAAAGAAACATCACCAAATTAAATTTCGATGAACAATTTGTATTCTAATTAAGATAAAATCACATGAAGAAACCATTTGGCGAAATTGAGTAATGAGAACAAACAAAGAAAAACCTACAGGGGAGAATAAGAACTTTTCCTAAGCCCCACCCATTCGGTTGATTCTTTTTCTAAACCAACTGTTCCGCCATCTTGTGGATATTTTCTTCTTCAACATGAGTAACTAATTTTTCACATTTTGGTTTATTTTTTTTTCCATAATTAATTTAGTTTGGTTAATTGTTCGTCCATTTTTTTCATTTGATTGTTTTAACGTTAATTGCAGTTTAATTCATAGTGAGTATATTGTTTTGTATTCAGAGTTTTCTGTTTTTATGAATTGCTGATAAACACACATGTAAGTGAGTTTGAAGCTTAATGAGAAACATTAATTGATATTATTTGGTTGAATATGAGTCAATCTAATTGTTTTTGTTTCTTTTTTTTGTCTCTCAGGTAATTGGTGTTGCTTTTTGGTTAATATGTTGCATCGTAAACAGAAAAGTCTACTTTGGACAAATCCGAGAGGGAATATTAATTATATCTTCAAATATTTGGCTATTTCATCATTCTCATCTTTCTTGACATTTATGGGTTTACATAAAAGTCAATCTTTTCGATACTATTTTCATGAAAATTTCACAACTGTACTTGATGTTTATTATCAATTTATCAAAACAGTGAGTGACAAAGAAGAGAAAATCAAAAAAGCAGATTACGATGCATGGGGAGTCAAACAACATCGAAGATGATTTTGGTTGTGATTTGATGATGATTGGGATATACCAAGAGGAGGTTTAAAATAGAGGACGAAGTCAAGAGAGTTTGTGTCGATTGTATATTAAATCATTTTGTGGTTTCTTTTTCCATCTTCAATATTTGTTAAATATAAATTTGCTGTTCGGCTAATCGATCACAAAATGGTGCCACTAATAGTGATGTTGTAAAATAGAATGTTAAACCGAAAAATATTGAAATTGGAAGAGCAGGTAAAGCTTTCTTAAAGAAAGCGAGTAACAGTAAAGTTAAACAAAGTCCAATCAAAATAGAAACGAAACAAGCTAATGTTGTATTCCAATCTCCATATGATGAAGCTTTTCCAACCAAAACACTGTAGAAAATAAAATCACCTAAACCTAATTTTACTCCACGTTCGTCATCATATTCATCGGGATCTACATTATATTCGGAGGGTTGATTGTTTTGTCCGCGAAATGTGATCGGTGGAACTGTAGATTCTACTTGTTGAGGTTGTGATGGTTCTGATTGATGAGATGTTGATGCTGTTGATTGGTTTTTATTAGAATCGATATCATCTCGAGGCAATTTTTCTCTTTCACTGTTATCTGCCATTCCAGGTAAATAGGCAACTGCTGAAGAATAAATTAGAGAAGGGAAAATAGATTCATTTCGACTTTGAGCAGTTTCCACCAAGATTCTTAAAGGTCCTTTTGGACATAAAACAGCGACGAGATCCCAAACAGAAATTACTGCAAGTATAACCCATACTGTCCATTCGGGAATGTATTTGATTAGAACCAAAGCCATGAGAGCGGAGACCACAAGTAGGTAGGCTTGTTGGACTACAAGAGGTCCTTTCCAGTGGATACAAATCATTCCCAGTATACCAAAGTTCCAGATAAAGAGGGAAACGGAAATATAATCTGCAGGGAGATTATATTTTTGAAGAACCACGGAAAGGTAGATAAACATAAAGAGAAAGAGTAGTAGAGAAGAGGAAAGTACCAGCCAACCATAAATGACTTTGTAGAATCTGTAAGTGTACAGAAGAATTAAAACAAAAGTCATCACCACAATTACTACCAAAAAAATGAATGCATTAGCAAATGAGTGCCAAACTTTTGTTGGAACATCGGCTTTTTGATCAGTGAACGGAGTGTATAATAAGTATTGATTGGTCTTGGTGTAGAATTGAAGAGATCCAATTGATGCGATAACAATGAGCATACAAATTGAGACTGGAATAAATAATTTGATTACATGTTTAGCTCCATATTTTAATTCCTCTTCTTCAATAGATCTTTGAGCAGAAGCAAGGGAACCAGGTGAAGACGAACCATCAGCATCATAACCATCACCGACTGGAGCTTCATTGTTCACCAAACGTTGAGGACTAACTCCTGAAATACCTTCATCAGCAACTTGATTAACATTACGATTATTTCCTCTATTTCTTTCACGTTTAGGTTGACCACTACCACCAGCTGGGTCAGACATTAATACAAGAAGATATAATACAAAATTTGCTGTAATCATCATCAAGGCAAACTCCTAGAAAAAAGAGAACATGAAAAAAATCAAAATAAAACCAAATCATATTAATAAAGAAAATATTATCCAACAATAAACCAACAAAAAACAATGTCAATTTAACACTAATACATATGGAACCGATTAACATCATCATAATCTGATGAATAATAAACAAAATCAGACCAATAAATTGTTGGAAACAATTAACTTACCGGGAGAAAGGAGTAATCCGAGTCAACTTGATTAGCATTGACCATATTGATGCTCAGTAAGAAACTGAAGGATAAATTAAGTCAATGATCACACACCAACCGAAATAAGCATTCGATTAATTGAGAATATTAATAATTAAGAATAAAACAAAATCACCTCACTAATTAATTGTTCGGATAAATAAAAAGTAAAAAGATTTGAAAGGCGTTTATCTTGTTGACAGAATTTAAATCATCTGTTCAGGAGAAGAGAATTTTTTTTCTCTCTTCAGATCGAAGCGCCAATTTCGTTTTTTCTTAGAATTTTTTTTCTAAATTTGATTTTCTATTTACCAGATTAATTCTGATTCTTTAATTTTTTTCTTCTTCATCAATTTGTTGTTAATTAATTTGTGCTTTTTAAATTTTCTTTTAATTGCATATTCTTTTTTTGGAACAATTGTCATTCGCTTATACAAACCTTCATCTCATCTTTTATTTGACCAGTGAGAGAGACATTATTGTTTCTACTTTGTTTTGATTTGGTTGACTTTTTTTTTCTCTACAGAAAATAATTTTAATTCTCTAATTGCATATTTTCTGTGACTTAATTAATCAGTTTTTTCATCTAATTGTTTCCAGGGATTGATCAAGATAACTGATTGATTGTTATTTCTCTGAAAATATTAAGAGCTAATTGACTATTTATTGAACATTTATCTCTTTGTGTTCTAGTCTTAACCTATGTTATAACCTTAAGTAAGTGCAGTTGATTGGGTTATCTTGATTGTCTTATGTTGATTGTCTTCATCTTAATTTCATTTAGCTTTCTTGGATATGATTAATTGTTTCCAAGATTAACCATGTTCTTAAGAAGTGCTCATAAATGATTCGAATAAATGTCTCTGAATGAGTGATTGTTAATTTATTCAATTCTAAATTTCTAATTTGATTTTTTTTCTCTTTTCAGTCTTTCAACTGGACGACTAATATTGCGATTTAAATAGCAAAATATGAGCAATTGTAATCAATTAGCCCATGAAATTGGGTTGTCTTTCTATGATAAAAAGCTTAATCAAGCATTGAGAACAATTTATGAATGTGGTGTCAAATTGGAAGCCAAATTAGAAACAATCTCTTCTGCAGCAATTTATTTCCACAGATTCTTTTCCGTATCATCACCTGAGCTTTTTGATCCCGTTCTTATTGGTGCAACTTGTATTTATTTGGCTGGAAAAGTTGAAGAAGATCATATTCACCTTCGTGATCTAATTAATGTTTTCCATTCAACTCTAAATCGAGCTCATAAAATGATTCCATTGAAATTTGACAACTACTATTGGAACTTGCGAGAATCATTGGTTCAATTGGAACTTTTATTACTTCGAGTTCTTAAATTTGATGTTAACAATCAACTTGCTCATCAATATCTTGTTCATTATTTACGATCGCTCACCGAATGGATTGGTAAAGATTATACTACAACCATTTCATTGGCTCAAACATGTTGGTCACTTTTAAATGATTACTACATGGATCCAAAATGTATCAACTATAGCGGTCAACAAATCGCAATTGCAGTCATTCAAATTGCCCTGGAAACTCATTCAATTCAAATTCCATATGAAAAAGAATCTCTTGTCGGCTGGAAATTAGCACTTTACGAACAAGGAACTTTGGAAAAAACAAATCAAATAATAAGCGATATTTTAACTCTTTACGAAAACGACGATAAAGAATATTCAACAAGAGCATTAACATCCATGGAAAATTCATCGAATGTAGCAAAATCTAATTCGGAAGATCTACTGGCCGCATTTAGGAAATATACACCTTCCAAAATAATTGAATATACGCCTAAATGAACAGGACGAAGTTGATTAATGAAACAATTTCCGACCCTAATTCCAACACCTACAAGAAAAGCACAACCTTATGGTTCCTATTTTCGTAAACATCTAATAACATAATGTACCAGAAAATTACATGTCCAGACGAATCCAATCAACGTGTAAACCTGAAAATTTTGATCAAGTTGAACATCATTTCCCTTGACCCTCGAGTGTTGAAATCTCATCGTAATCATACAACAACAAGTGTATTTAGATAATCAATCGGTCTAATTAAGCTTTTTGTTTAATCAAATATAAACATTCGCGTAGGTTGTGAAGATAAACACTCACTCACTTATATTTTAACCAAATGATCACAAAATGAATAAGATTGTCAGGTTAAACTCGCGCAACTTGTTCCCCACCCACTCTACAGTGAAAAGAAACTTTCTAAACACTAAGCATCCTCATCCCTCAACCGATACTATTTATGGTAAAAGAAGATATTTTTTCCCTCATCTTCTTATTACTTTTCTTTCCTGTTAATTTTTTAGTTCATTCATTTTCTCTTAATCATCTTAAATAACCTTTCACCGTTATCATTGTACAATTTTAACCAACAATCAGTTCTAATTGTGATTCAACAGATCTAAACAATTTCTCTCTCTCTCTCTCTCTCTCATATTTATCATCTTCAATAAGTAAACAATGGAAGACATTTTTCATTGGTGTCGTGAAGGTAATGGTTTTCTCGTTAGGGTTTGGCTCGATGATACAACTCATGATCTGAATCAAGGGTAAGAATTTAATTTAAATTGTCCATTGTGAAAATTTGTTGATTGAAATTGGGTCGAATCGATTGATTGTTAATTGTTGACCTTTCATTTTCTTTTGACTTTTATGTTATGTCTTTCTGTTTATTTGTTTACCATATGAATAACTCTGTTTGTTTACATTGTTTGATTTTCTCATAATAGTGATGATCATGGATTCAGTCCACTTCATTGGGCGTGTAAATCTGGACGTGGACACATCGTTGAGATGTTAATCAACAGAGGAGCTCGAATCAATGCCACCAATATGGGCGATGATACTGGCCTTCATTTAGCTGCCGCTCATGGACACAGAGAGATAGTTAATTATCTTCTTCGTCATAAGGCTGACATAAATTCAATCAACGAACATGGAAATACACCTTTACATTATGCTTGTTTCTGGGGCTATCAACAAGTTGCCGAAGATTTGATTAACGCTGGTGCTCGAGTTAACGTTATCAACAAGTATGGTGAAACTCCGTTAGATAAGAGTAAAGGACAAATGGCCTCAAGTTTACTTGAACTTGCTGAGAAAATGGGACAAGATGTTTCAAAGAAAGTTCCATACAAAGAGCAAAGTTGGCTTGGTACTAAAAGTCGATCTCGAGATGCGACACTTTCTCGTCATATGGGAATCAAATTGGAAGATCTTCATTTACAGGATAAATTATCAATCACCAAATCAGGTGAAACTTGGCGAGGAATTTGGCAGAATAATGAAATTTCGGCTAAATTTTTATCTCTTGGTGTTAAACCTTCAGTTGATGTGATTCGTCGAGCGTCAAGAAATTTTTCTGAAGAATTTCCTAGACTCAGAATATTTTCTCATCCAAATGTATTACCAGTTATCGGTTGTACCAATTCACCGCCCAATTTGGTTGTTATCAATCAATTCATGCCCTACGGAAGCCTTTACCAAGTCCTCCATCAACCGACAAATCTTGTTGTCGATCAAAATCGTGCCTTAAAATTTGCCGTCGATATCGCTAAAGGAATGGCCTTCCTACATTCTCTGGAACCACCGATAATGCGATATTTCCTCAATTCTAAACATGTTTACGTAAGAATTAATTTCTGCTCGAATGTGTTTCATTTGTAAATCTAATCACATTTCTCTCTTTCCATTTACTACAGATTGATGAAGATCTAACTGCCAGAATTAACATGGCGGACACCAAATTTTCATTCCAAGAACGAAATAAATATTATCATCCCGCTTGGATGTCACCAGAGGTCTTACAGAAAAAACTTACAGAGATCAATATAAAAGCCGCCGATATGTGGTCATTTGCTATTCTTTTATGGGAATTGGCCACTCGACAAGTGCCTTTCTCTGAATTATCTCCTATGGAATGTGGAATGAAAATTGCCCTGGAAGATTTAAGAATTTCAATTCCACCAGGAATCTCTTCTCACATGGGAAAATTGACTAAAATCTGTATGAATGAGGAACCAGGAAAAAGACCAACCTTTGATCAAGTCCTTCCAATCCTTGAGAAAATGATTCATGCTTAATTGTGCTAAACAGTCAAATTTCAGTGTTAATAATACCACTAATCATGAAACAATTGGAAACAATTAATATAACAATATAAATATCAATGTATCAATATGATTAACAATTATGAAACATTTTAACAAAAACAATCAAATAATTCGCAATTGATAATAAAAATATCATTAGAATTAAATTAAAAAATAACAGAATCACTTTTTCTGGATTGGTCATATTAGTTTTCTAGTTTACATTTGAAATAAAATTTACAATTTAAAATTACTTTGCGTTCAATTTTCATGTTCATCACGTTTAAGATTAACATTGGATAATTTTCTCCTTTAATTGTTCAATGGTCTCATTGTTGTAGCCCAATTGTTGTAGCACTTCAATCGTGCTCACCAACATCGGGTGGCGATTTCATTTCGCTTCGAAAGGCTGACAAATTGGACGCTAATGGTTGATATTTGACCGCTGGACCAAGTAATTTGATCTTTCCTCCTTTGTTGTGGTCCACTGAAATTACTGATTGATTGTGGATCACTTGAGGATCCTCGAAGACATCGTCTAGTTCATTAACTGGCCCATAAGAGATTCCTGAACCTTCAAAGTGTTTCAACCATTCTTGCATTGGTTTAGCACTTAAACCTTTTGTGATTAGTTTGTTAAGCTCCAAACGATTAGCATTACGATTTGCATTATCAGTGTACTTTGGATCATTGATAATTTTTTCAGCTTCAGCGGGAGAAAAGATCACACGGCAAATGGAATGAAACATTTTATCGGAACCAGCGCAAAGAGTGATATGTTTACCATCGGCACATTCGTAAGATTGGTAAGGTACAACAGTTTCATGGGCAGTTCCTCTTCGAGAATTATACCCGAATTAAGGTAGCCCACTCCGAGATTGGCAAGAATTGAGACTGTGGTTGACAGTAAATTACAATCGATTTTCATTCCAAGACCAGTGATTGATCTTTGGTGAAGAGCGGCAAGAATAGCACCATGAGCATAAAGGCCAGTGCTTAGATCGGACATGGCGACACCAACTTTACAAGGTTCACCACCTTCGGGTCCCGTTATGGCTAAAAGTCCACCCATTGAAGCGGCGATCACATCGAAACCAGCTCGTTTAGCATATGGACCTTAACATTGCAATGAAAATAATTAGAAACTCATTTTCTTGGATTTAATTGGAAAGAGATTACAAATTTACCTGTAGGACCAAAACCACTGATTGAACAGTAAATTATTTTCGGATTAATTTTATTCAAATCATCGTAACCAAGTCCCATGGAATTCAATTTACCAGGAATATAATTCTCGATGAAAATGTCACTTGAGGCGACCAACTTTTCCAATATCTTCAAACCCTCTGATCTTTTAAAGTCAATCGCGATACTCTGATAATATCAAACACACAAAGGGAATTTACTTTAAGGCTCAAAGTCGAGAAAAGAAATCAACAATTTCTTCATCAAAGGTGACACTTTGTAATATCTTCACGATAAATGAGTACAAACAAAAACGATTCTAATCAATTAGCTTTTCAATTACCTTTTTATTGCGATTGATGGACAAATAATAAGTAGAATCTCCATTAACAAAAGGTGGACCCCAACCTCGGGTTTCGTCACCTTTACCTGGTTTTTCAACTTTAATTACTTTAGCACCTAAATCCGAAAGTAACATTGTACAAAAAGGTCCGGCCAGAATTCTGGTCAAGTCGAGGACGGTGACATCACTTAAACAGCCTTCGAGTTTCTCATTGACACTTGTTGAAAATCTAGTAGGCTTGATCATAAGGCCAATATTTAGAAAGACTTTACTTCGCAAACAATTCATGATTGAGAGAAGAATAAACTTGAAAATAATTCAAATTACACATAAAAAATTACGATTGTTATGGTTAAACAAACGATCCACTGGTGCAACGATCCAAGTGAATCCCTTGCGATTGCAGCTCTACCTCAAAGCAATTCACCTGAGTGCCAACTTCAAATTGAGACTTACAATCGGACCGAATTTGCGATTGCACCTTAATTTTCACTTAATCTCTGGTAAGACACTTCATTGTTGTTACTTTCATACTTTTCGGTCCAAATTGCTTTTTTTGAAATCTATTCTAATAACCAATTCATTTCGAGTTGATTTTGATCAATGATTTTCATTATTCCTTAGTGAGTTTCAGGGTCAAGAGATGGCAGCACAAATTTCTGATCAATTCGGTTAACGTTTTTGTCTCTGTTTACAATGTTAGTTGTCAATGGAAACAGAAATTTAATTTTTGTTTTCATTTCATTTCTATCAATTTCTATCAACATTTAATTGTCTTTTTAATCATCTAATTGATTCAACTTTAGATTCACAATAATTTTACTTGTATTTTTATAGTCCATCTCTCCGGTTATTGAGGAAACAATGAATGTAAGTTGTAATGTTGAGAAATGAATAGAATGAAATGAAAATTGTCATTTGTATGATCACTAATTTTTGTTTTTCTATTTTCTGTTTTCTGTTTTGATTTGTATGGTTTGAAGGCAGAAATTGAAGAAACCCTTAAACGTATTGAAAGTACTCACAAATCGGTGATGGGAGTTATTGTTACCGATGATGAAGGGAACATAATTAAATCAACTCTATCCGAGAACAAGGAATCATCAGAAAGTTATGCCAACATAATTTGTGACATCGTTGAAAAGGCTCGAATGGCTCTTAAAGACAAAGAGTATATGAATGATGAACTTACCTTTCTAAAGATACGAACTAAAAGAATTGAATTTATTGTTGTTCCCGGTGAGTAGATTGATATCACTTTATTCCTCTTCTTCAGATAATCTTTTCCCTGTCATTAATCAATTGATAAAAGAAATATCTTCAAGAATCTAGTAAATATTAATAATATCTTGAGTTTCTTGATAATCAAAGATTATCTCATCTTGATATTATTGTCATGAGTTTGATCAGTGTTTTATTTTAGATAGAATTGATTTTCTCAACAACTTTCCTATCATTTTATTCAGATATAAAAGTTTATCTAATCATTTCGCTTACATTTCAATCATTATTCCTGTTCTAACTCTTAATTGATTTCTCTTTTTTTTCTCTCTTACTTTAGACAAAGATTTCATATTGATCACATTACTGAATCCAACTTTGGAATCAACAGCATAATTATCAACAGATCTAAAAAGTTAAAGAAAGGAAAAATACTGAAATCAGTCCAAAGATATTGAATTTTTCGAATGATTTTTAATCAATCAAATTCACTAATAAATTTCCATCTATTATAAATTCCAAAAAAAGGAGATGTTTCCAAAATTCATCGTTGGCTCGTCAATTCTCAGATCCACCCGCTTGTTGTATCTTTATAAAATTTTCGTATTGTTTCTCATCCATTAATCTTGAAAACTCTTCTTCATTTGGAACTTTCATCTTATAAATCCAACCTTGGTCATATGGAGATGTGTTTAGTAAATCTGAGAGCAATAGAAATAGAAAAAAAAAATTCTATTAATAAAAACAAAAGGCCAATAAAACGAGAAGAAAAAACAAAAATCGGTCATTTAACTTACGTGGTTCCGATTCAAGTTTCTCGTTAACGGCAACAACTTCACCTCGAAGTGGTGAATAAATGTCATTGGCTGATTTCGTGCTCTCAACACAACCAACCTCATCTAACGATAAAGAACAATTTACTAATTAATCCAATGAACGAATTTACAAAATATTTGATTTTCAAATGAATCACTTAATGAACATCAGAGTGAGAGACTAATGATAATTCATAAGCTGAAACAATTACTCACCATCTTTTTCAACCTCTCGACCAATTTCAGGTAATTCAGCAAAAACAATATCACCTAAAGCTTTTTGAGCATAATCAGATATACCAACAGTCGCAACATTGTCACTAATTGTTACCCATTCATGTTTATCATGATACCTTCGGTCTAATTGAAAAGAAAAACAAGAAGAAACAAAAAATAAACCAAAATAAAGCAAAAGCAAAAAAAGGTAAACAACAACAAGAAAATGATTCCAAAGTAATGGAATTACAATTTCAATGGAATAAAATGAAACAATATTCCATAAATTCCATATTCACATGAAAGAATAAACAGATTAACCATAATTACCTGAAAATCGATTAACAGAAAGACTTAATTTTCTCAATTGATTTGAAGAAGCCAAACAATTAGAAAATGCCGGTTGATTGGACAAAACATTGATCCATTTTGTTGTTGACATTAAATTGAAACAATTTACATTAGAAAAAGAAATCAAACTCTTGGTTAATTTAGAGAAATACATTTTCAAACGATCACCAACAATCTAATTAATAACAAAAAAAAAGAAACAATTAATTAAACACAAATAGAAAAAAAAATAAAGAAAATTAATTTTCTCTCAATGGTTATGCTCAGTTGGAACCAAGATAATGTATAGAGAGAATCAAATGTCTGGTGCTTCCAGCAATTGACTACATTCAGAATCAAGTGATTCCAATTTGGTTGTTTTGTCTCTTTCCTCTCTAATTATGGTGTTTATTTCACTAAATTAAATACAATTAACTGTTACTCTTTAAAAACTATCGACGAATTGATTGTGAAAAAAAATTAATTCAATTTCCATCACAACCTTATGACCCATTCTCAAGGTAACCTTGGAATTCAAGGCTTGAATTAAATTCTATTCTTTTCCAGCTGTAAGTACAATTTTCTTTTTCTCTCTTTTCTATTTTACTTCTTCTTTTTTTCTAATTAAATTAATCTTCTTCTTCTTCTGTTTATTGTCATTACTCTTCTTGTTTCATCTAAATTTAATTGTTCTAAATAGACAGATTATTATTTCTCTGTGGAAAGTGATGGTTTCTTTGGATTATCTGAAACCTTTTCAAACTTGCGCCAGGAATCAAAGGAACAAGTTGATTAGCAACCTGAGTTTTTCATCTTGATCACATTTAAAATTTGTAATTACAATTTAGTTTTCCATTTCTATTATTGAATTTGTTTCTCGTAATCACAACAAATCTAGTCAAATGTTTTACTCTTTTCCAGTATCCTGTTAATTGTCAACAATAATCAACTAGATTTATTTAGCTTTACATTGTTCACTTACTTAAACAATGATCAGCTGATTTTTTTATAACCTTTTCTATTTTTTTCTTCTTACTCCTTTTCCTTTTACTAGTGATTCTTGTAATCTGGTGTTCTTGTTTATTCAATCATCATGAGAGTCTCAATGCTACTTAGATTATTTAAACCTCGAAGGATTTCAACCTCATCATCACCGTCCATTAATACGAGAAATTTTCGTACATGGAGTGGAGGGAACATCAACCTTTTATTCTTACCCAATTTCGGATTCACCAAATTCAATCAGAAAAGAGATTTTTCTTCTAAACAAGAATCTTATTTCTCAGCAATCGGTGGAGAATCCGATGAACCACCGCCCGAACTGACACCAGAACAGGTTAGTGTTTTTCTCCTCGACTCTTTACTCGATATTTTCGACATTCGAATATCATTTCTTTTTTATAAAATAATATTTTCTTTCTTAGGTCACAAGTATTCTCACTATGAATGAAGTGAAATTTTCTGGAAACGGTCGAATAAAGACAATCGAATGTAATCAACTTTCTTCTAATCAACCGATTGAAGATCGTCTTCGAGTATCTAAATTAAATTTAACCGATATCAATACATCTTTAAATTCAAATTCTTCAAAAGAAGCCATGATTTTCGCCGTTTTCGATGGCCATGGTGGTAGATTATGTGCCGATGTTGTTACAAAACGTTTATTTAGTTATATCGCTTTATCTTTATGCACGGATCCAGTTAATATTGTTTCTGATGAAAAAATTGGATAAAATTGTTGAAGATTTACAAATAGCTCCAAATATATCTCAAAGTTTAAGTTTATCGTATGGACCTATTGCCTGTGAACGAATCAAGTCTGTCTCATCAGAAAGAACCAAATTTTACCTGGAAAGATTTGCTCATAAACTTACTGAAACTTCATATGAAACAATTGAAGAGAAAATATCTGATGCTTTCTTACAATGTGATCAAGATATTTCAGATGAAATCGAACATGGTTTATCAAATCCTGTTTCAAATGTTCTCATCCATTATTATCTTTCGCTTGCCGTTAGTGGTTGTTGCGTCTCTTTGATCATGATCCATGATGATGATTGTTATATTGCGTCTACAGGTAAATCTAATCTAATCTTAAATATAAATCTCTCTCTCTCTCATCTATAATTTCAACACTATTATCAAATGATTAACAATCCAATTTATTTATATTATTATTCAGGTGATTGTAAAGCAGTCTTGGGATTCCGTGAAGATGGTCCATCTAATCATGTAACTAAATCAGTTGATTTAACCAATGAGCATAACAGTGATAATGCCTCCGAAACCAAGAGATTACTTTCTGCCCATCCAGCTAAAGAAAAGAAAACAATTATCAAAAATGATAGACTTTTATCCCATCTTATGCCTTTCCGAGCTTTCGGTGATTTCTGTTACAAATGGGAGATCGAAAAAATCAAAAAAGTTGGCCTAACTCAAGCTTTTGGTCCTCATATTATACCTCCAAATTACCTGACCCCTCCTTACCTTACAGCTCAACCTGAAGTCTCCAAGATCTCATTATCTCAAAAATCAGAAACAACCATTGGAAGTAGATTCATTGTAATTGCAACCGATGGTCTCTGGGAACAGTATGGAACTAGTCGTTGTTTGATTAAACAATTATTCCGACATCAATTTATATTAAATTCAAATGTCTCATCAAGTGAAAATATCCCAGTGCCAAAGAACTCTAATCAAAGTTGTCCCAGTAAACAAGTTTCCAATAAGGTTACAGATAATTCAATTGAATCAAAGATTCCTGTTCATGGTGATTCAACAATCGATTACAATAAGTTCATTGATGATAACAGATCTACACACTTAATCCGAGTTGCCTTAGGAACACCTCCACCTTTATCCAATCTGATCCAAGATGATAATCCAACTGATTTTAAATCACAACATAAAAGATTATCTACTTTCTTGACTTTACCATCTCACCTTGTCCGTAATTTTAGAGATGATATAACTGTTATCGTTCTGCAATTAGATTAAATAAGAGTAAATATTTGTGGCAAAAACAATTAACAATCTTGGTTAACCCGATCATCTGGTATCCAAATGTGATTCTGATTATACAAGTAATTTAATCATCATTATTATCATTGTGAAAAAACAAAACAAATCTGTAAATGACAACATTATTTAGGATAAACGTTTTAATTTTAATTGCTCAATTGTAATACATCAAATTTGCCTCGACAATTAATCTAGTCATTTTCAATATTCCCCTCTCATCAAAAACAATCAATATCTTATGTAATAGTAATTGTTAACATGTTTAATTGTGAAAGTTATCTGAAAGTTAAGAGTATTTACCAATTGTAACTTGACAACAAAAAGAATCAAGTTCAAGGTTAATTATCAAACTAATTGTAATCATCTTCAGTCCTGAATATTAACTATTTTTCCTTACACAGAGGCGAAAGACGATAAACCAGTTTGAAAGATTTTTCTTTCTAAGCTTCGAGTAAGACTGAGAGAGAAAAGGTTTCAATTGAGATTAAGATTGAGAAAATTTCGCCCAAAATTAAGTAGGACGATCGAACCGACGAAATTTCTCTTTCATTGTTATTCTAGCGCCATCTTTTCTTTACTTGATACAAGTTCTTATCTTAAGTACTTTCAATCTCTCTCTCTCTGTGTTGATTAAACTGGATTTTTCTTTTCTGATGAATTAACTGATCGTTAGAGTTAATCATGTCTTCTCGATTGTATTTCGTAAATGATATTCCAAGTGCTGTTCGTGATAACCTTGAAGGTCTTGTCACCGTTAATAGTCACCTGATTATCCACAAAACGTCCAACATTGTGTTGAGAAAAGATTTCGGAGAATCAGTTCTGTCGAAACGTAAAGTTGCCTTAATTTCTGGTGGTGGTTCGGGACATGAGCCATCACATGCTGGTTTCGTTGGTCGAGGTTTGTTAACTGCTTCCGTTTCCGGTAATATATTTGCTTCGCCCACTACTGATGAGGTTCTGAGAACAATTAAAATCGTCAATCCTATTGGTCAAAACAGTGAAACCTTGTTAATCGTTCCTAATTACACTGGTGATAGAATTCACTTTGGATTAGCAAAGGAAAAAGCTATTGCGCTTGGGTTTAAAGTGGACATTTTCGTGTTTGGTGATGATTGTGTTTTCAGATCGGCGGGCGGAAAGGCTGGAGGATCAAGAGGATTAGCGGGTGTATTTTTTATCCATAAAATCGCTGGTGCCTTAGCTGAATCGAAATCAGATCTTAGGTCCATCAAAACATATCTACAGTCTATTTCAGATCGAATCGCTTCCATCTCGATTTCTCTTGGTCCTTGTAATGTTCCTGGAGTTGGTCCGTCTTTTGTTATGCCTTCAGGGCAACTCGAAGTTGGTCTAGGAATTCACGGAGAAAGAGGTTCTGATCGTGTATCATATATTCCAGCTAATGAAGCCGTTGCTTTGTTAATTGGACGGTTGACCAGCGAAGATGCTGGTCTAAGTGAATACTTTTTACCTGATCGATCAACTCGAATTGTCCTTTTATTCAATGACAATGGTGGATTAACAACTATGGAAATGAATATTATTATCAGAGAGACTGTCTCTCAGTTGACTTCGCAAGGATTTACCATTGAACGTACTTATTCAGGTCGATATGTAACATCTTTCGATATGGTCGGTATCTGTATTAGTATGATGGTCGTAAATGATGAAATCTTGGCTCATCTGGATGCACCATGTTACAGTGCTATCATAACCCAAGGATCTTCTTTATCTCGACAATTAAATGACCCAAGTAGACTGATCATCGAAGATCATGAAGATATGAAAGTTCACTTAGTTGTTACGAAAGTGTAGCCGATAGATTAACTGAGGACGAAACAATATTCATCAAATGTGTTTCCGCGGCTTGTAAAGTTTTAATCGATAACGAAAGTGATCTTAATAGACTTGATTCAGAATCAGGTGATTCGGATTGTGGATCAACTTTAGCTGTTGGAGCTCGAAAAATTTTATCAACCATAGAATCGGGAAAATTTGTAGCTTCTTTCCTTCAATTAGCCCACATTATCGAGAGCTGTATGGGCGGAACGAGTGGAGCACTTTTCAGTTTATTTTTCAACGAAGCCTCGAATGTTGTTGAATCTATGAGGTCGGTTAATCCAGTTCTAGGATTATCCATGCAAAGCTGGTTACCAATCATCAAAAGATCGTGTAGCAAAATGACCCTGTACAGTTACGCAGAGCCAGGAGATCGAACCTTGGTTGACCCGTTGACCGCTTTGATTAAAGCGCTAGAAAATTTCCTGGCCTCAACTGAGCCCACGGCGAGTGTTTTGACCGCTATAATTGACGAAGTTAAATTATCAGCTGAATCTACGGCCTCAATGGTCGCTAAGATTGGCCGAGCTTCGTACACGCCAATACAACCATATCAAGGACCCGATCCTGGAGCTTGGGCAATTTACTTAATTGTTGAAAAAGTTATTTGCACTTATATTCAATCAAATTAACTTTGAAACAACAACAACAACAATCAGTAAAAATAACAAACAATTTATTAATAATTATGACAATGGATATTGAGGTCAATCAAAAAATGAAAATGATACATTTTAATTGTTTTAACATGATCAAAATTGTCTAACAAGTTAATTGCTTGTGAAAAAAAAGCTTATCGATAACAATGAAATTAAATTAATCGGGTTATTAATTTCAGTAATTGTTAAAAATCAATGATTCTAATAATTGATCAACAATCTTTACTTTCCTCACGAAATGTATCATCTTTAACTTGATTGTTACCAAATTACAAATGAATTAATTTTTCTAATCAGTTGAATACAATGTTAATTGTTGACTGTATATAAATGGTTAACTGGATTTCAAGGAATCAAATTAACGATAAACTTAATTGCTTCACATTAACGTTACCGGTGAAATGATGATTACTAATCGCAATTACGATCATTCTGTTAATCTTCAACCTTTCACTGATTGTTTTCAATTTCCAATCAACGATAATCATTTAGCTTAATCATTTCTCTTAATGATTATAAAAAAAAATCTCTCTCTCCCAATTGTCTTGATTGTTTCTTGTTACCTTAATTTCTGATTGATTAACTAACTATTGGAATCATTGAAGCAACAATATTAACTTGTTAACGAACAACAAAAAAAAACTTTAACCAATCAACAAATGATCAGATTAACTAATCAATTCTGATCTTAAATTTGTTTAGTCTAAAGTTAATCAAGTTTACAGATTCTTCCTATTAAATCAACTATACAAATGTCCCAAAGATTTTTAACCCTTAATTGCAATTACTTTAACTGATCACAATCAATTCTTGAATAACTAGTTAGTTAACTTTTCTCAGTTCAAAGTTTAATTATGGAACCATTTAGTTTACCTTACATTGATGTGGAAAAATTTTCCATCCCAAACAATTTAACTAAATAGTTAGTTAAATTATCGGAAATAAAATCAATCTTTTTTCCCAATGGTCAACCAGTCAAAGCCCCTTAAGGTCAATTGCCTTTTTTCAACCAATTATTTGTGTATTGTTACAATTACAGAATTAACAATGAATCAAATTAACCATTTCTCTTGTTAATTGTCACTCATTGTCAACACAATTGATTGTCAATCTTAAAAAAATGATTATTACAGTAAATTTGATTTGGTTACCCATCATGTGAACATAGTTAATCATTGTTAAGTTTAATTGTAATTCTCAACAATCATTTACTTGTTAACATGATTAAAATTTCAAATCACGATTTTCATAATCAAATACAATTAGTTTACCAATAAAGATAATTCAAAATCTAAATGGTAACCTCAACAATTAGATGAATGTTTAAAAAGAGATGAAGTAAACAATTAACCAGTTAGTTGATTGATTAATCAAAAATAACAACGACCAATTCCGATTATGTAACAGGATTAATCGAGTTTAATTAGCATCAAATTAGTCAAATTCTCAACGTTAATTGACCTTAATTTTCAGTCTATTTTGTTAATCATCTCGTAATCAATGTTATCCTCATCATCCCTATCAAAATGGTCTCAGAACCATAATAATGATAATTGACTTTCCTTTCATGTTTCACAATCAAAGGATTTTAAAGGTAACAATTAAGATGAAAATCAATGGATGAAACCTAATTTCTTTCATCTTATTTATCATCCTCATCCCGTTTTTGTCTTCCTCCCGACATGGAAGGTGTAAAGGTGCTGATGATCAGTTGATGGTGGTTAATGTTGTTTCTCGTGCTCATCCAAACACATCGACACCGGAATTGTAATGTAACTGTTACACTCTCAGAATAAACTTGAAATTTAATTTCGTCATCAACTGATCATCATTATCATCAACTCTTTTTTTTTCAATTTCCACAAAATTACACCCAATTCATCCCCTGTTCATCTCTACTCTATCTTCTTCCATCTCTCATCCATGAAACTTTCCTTCTAAGTTATTATTTGATAATATAATAGAACTCGTACCATTATCATCATCATCATCATCATTAAGATTATCATCATTATTGTTTATAATCTTGAGAGAACATTTTTTTTTCTTTCCTCATCCTCATCGTTTTTACTTTACTTTTTGCACATCATTAGTCTTGAAGAACTGACAATTATCATATACTAATATCAATTTCAAGGTGAAAATTTAATTTCATATTTGTAATAGTTACAAGTTTATTATTCACTTAACTGTAACGTGTTTAGGCCTTAATCAAATTAAACAGCTCGTTATCTTCATCATCATCATCATTATCCGTTTTTCCCTCTAATTGTTTATCAAAAGTCAATTTGTTGATTGTTAAAAAGCAAAATGAGAAGATGAAGAGAAAAAAAAACTCGATTGATAAAAAATATTCAATATTGGTGACAATATGAATTCTGATCGACTCGTGTTCATATTGTTCATATTCAATTGCGCCTTTTTCATCCTCATTCCAACCGTGTCATCTTCAGACTTATCTTTTCTTTATCATCATCATCATCATCATCTTCTTCTTCTAAGGGCTGAGAGAGGGAGAGAGAAAGGTGAGTGAGCATGTAAGTTGAATGGGAGAAAGATGAAGATGATTCAAGAACAGGTAGTTGATGAAGATTGTTTGATTTACTTTTCTTGAGGTTAGTTTTTTGCTTCTTCCTTTTACATATTATGTGAATTTTTTTGCTTCTTTACAAGAAATTTAAATTTTCCATTCATGGTGATTAATTTAATTCCTGAATTACGATTGTTCTGGTTTTCGCCTGTTTATCCCTTGTTGACACAATGTTACAATTAAACGTTCACCTGTGTAATTTTATTGTGATCAGTGTATTGATTAACGTTAATAATGTAATTAGTTCACCTAGAAATAAATATCATCATCGAATTAAAAATTTTAGTGATGAAGATGATCATCCAATTGTGATCTCATCTGCTCATCATCAATTATATCACAATGATCAATTTCAATCTAAAAGGTTACCAACAACAACTACCACAACTAGACAACCCTTTTTACACCGGTCAACTGTGATGACCACTGATTTTGATAATCAATTTAATCCATTTAAAACTCACCTAAAGGTTAATGTCTCAGTTTTACCATTGAAATCACGACCCATTATTGTTAAAGGGCCAACCACAAGTTCAACATCAACTACAACCACAACTACGACTACAACGTCGACCACAACAACACCAGCACCAAGGGTGTTAATTTCATCCTCAACTACAACCACAACTCCGAGTTCGTTACCTTTATCGTCAACACAGGCTAATCTTGTTGTTCAACCTTCGACTACTCATAAACCACCAAAACCAACCAAAGGACGAAGTGAACTTGATATGAGCACATCTTCATCAGTCAACAATTTAACGATCGCTCATCCAATCAATCAACAAGATAATAAGTCGGGCACTTCTTTACTTCAACCGTTAACTTTACTGCTTATGTCTTACCTTGCAAATCGCAAGATAAATTCACTTCCAGCTGATCGTAATACCCATGGATTAAAATATTTACCCTCATATCCGACGCATCCTTTACCCTCCGTGATAAATAATTCATTTTACGAATCTTCAGATCACAATTTAAACGATAACGAGACTGAATCACGAACCATTGCTTCCTGGTTTGGTGGTCTTACTCGTCGATTAAAGCGACCTAAACATCCACACAGAAGAGACCATACCGTTGGCCCTGGTCGAGGTACAATTCCTATTCATTATGAAACCGCTCCGATTTCATTGGCATCACTTCATGGACCTTCATTGGCATCGATTGGTCGACCTGGTTCATCGTCAGATCAAATGATTCTTCCTGGTCTATTACCTCAACCAGAAGGTTTTCCAGGTCCTTATAATCCTGAGAATTCAGTTTTACTTCCTCCTGATATCATGGAAAATTCTGGTATCAAATATTGGCTCGATTTCATTGAAAAGGGAGGAACGACTGATGATATTCCCCCGTCACATTATAACGGTTCACCAGCTCCTCTTCCCCCTCATTTTTCATCGTCCCATCATCCGCATTCCCCTCATCCTCCATCACCTTTATCACCACAGACAATTTTTGAAACAGCGGGTTCAGATCACGATGAGGTCGATTTCAATAATGCTGTTAAAAGGCAATTCAAACGACCTCCAATCCAGGCCAAACCTGATGGTAATCGACATGGTACAAGATACAGACCAAATCAAAATCGACCATCAAATGGAGGCTCAAATAGTGGCAATGGAAATAATGGAAATCAAGGTGATAATCAGAAACACAGTTACGGTGAAACAAGTGATTCTCATGATGGTACTGATAGAATTGGTAATAATAATAATAACAACTACGATTCGGATCGTCATAAGAATGAAATGTCACCTCGTTGTGACAAATTCACTGCTCATATTTGTGTTGACGATTTCGAGTATCCAGAACAAGCGATTGTCGATGAAATTTATAAAAGAAGAGACATTTTTGAATTGATGTATTCAGAGGTGAAAGGTAATCCATCATTGGTTGACGGGATTCCAAGAGATGTCGAGGAATCGTATAGCTATGATATCGACGATTCGAGCGATGATTCTGATGAAGACAATGATTCACCAGGAGATAGAAATGATGTGTTGGGTGATGAAAGAGTTGTCGATCCAATGTATTCAGCAGCAAATTCAGATTCATTTATAAAATCCGGTGGAAGACAGGGAATCAGATCATCAGGAGGAAACGACGGATCTTCGGGCACAAATGGTGCTTCTAATAATAACGGCGGTGGAAGTTCATCTAAAGATACTGCGAGTAGTGGTTATGTTTGTCCTTCTGAAGTTCTCTATGGAAAACCTAAACTTGCTCGTAACATGAAAGGCGATTGGAAGGTGATTGTAAACGCCGCTGAATTCACTCAAACGGTTCGTATGGAAAAGTGTCTTCGACCCAATCAACGTTGTAATTATGTGACCAACATTGGAATCGCTTCCCGTTGTGCTCAAGTTCACTCTTTCCATCGACTAATGGTGTTCGAAAAAGGTAAAGGATTTTACATCGACACCTTCCGTATACCGACAGCATGTTCATGTCACATTAGACGAACCGGAGGTCCAACTGGACCATCACCAATGTCCGACTTATTAGGATTAAATGAATCACCTGGAACCGGGTCAGGATCATCGAGCGGATCAAATTTAAATGGTGCCAACGGCGGAACAGTAGGTTCCAATAACAATGGACACGTTTCAATAGGTAAAAGTCCAACACCGATACAGTTGAGTAACGCACTTTGGTCAATTCTTGGCTCTGGTCCAGGTAATCAAGGACCGACAACAATGTCAGGTAATCCTTTCTCGGTATTGGATAACATTAACGCTGTAAATAGTGACCTATTAAAGGCTCAACTTTCCGTGTTATCAAGTCTGAAAAACTATCCTTCTTTAACTGGATCAATATCACCTGAGAGTGTCTTGCAACAATTAACATCTCAATCAGATGCAATTCAAAATATTCAAGGATTAACTGGATCATTTAATCCAACCACTGGTTTCTCTTCAATTACTGGTAAATCACCTTCATCAAATAATCCAAATGATTTATCAAACAATGAATATCTTTTACCTGGAATGATTTATGCTGAGGAACCTTTATCATTCCAAGAGCATTCAGATAATTTGGGTGGACGATTAAGTAGCTCACATCCAAGTGGAACATTTACTCGAGGCTCATCATCACCTTTATCATCTTCTTCGTCATCTTCATCATCCTCAATTCCTGGCAGCGAAATGTCCAACGGAGGTACACCATTGGTCCAAGTTATTCATGTTCCAGTTTCATCTCATCCTTTATCCCCACAACTCCAACGGCACCATCACCATGGTTCCACCACAAGTAATATACAATTCCCTGTGTACAAACAACCGATAAACCCGACAAATACTGACCTTCACACTTTGACCGCTTATGCTTCGGCCAGTAAATCGTCAGCGGATGCACTTAAATCGGAACGAAAACCTCCCGATTATTTTTCAACGGAACAAGAAAGAAACAAAATGAACGTTAATCGAGCTTCAGATTCCAATTCCAATTCAAATTCTAATAACAATCAAAATAATTTCGATTCTAATCAACATGATAACGATAATGACCATGATTCTAATCAACAATCAACTAAATTAAATGAGACAATTAGCACTTACGATTCAGTGGTATTAACAAGTACACCCAAAGTCGCAGTCACCGGTGAATCAAATTCCCATGTTACTCATCCTCAGGAAACAATTAAATCAAATGATAAAAATGATTCAACAAACAACAATCATTTAATTACTACAATCAACAATAAAAGTAATGATACTAATACCAATTCGGATAAAACATTAGCTAATTCAGTTTCCGATGGAAAAGTTAATTTCTCATATCATCCGATATTAGAATACATTTTACCATCTCAATCAACTTCATGAGAAAAATTTAATTGTTATGATAACAAGTGAAAATCAATTAACTATTTGATTATTATTATCAAGTTAATCTTTAATTTCCTTTAACAATTAACTGTTCAAAACTCAAACTCAAACTCACACACAAACACACATATGAAAAGTGTATATTTATTTTTACTTCAATCGTAAACAATTAACTGCTTATCAACAATTCCCTTAATTGTAACACTTTACTTATTGTCAATCAATTGTTTCAATTGAAAATAAATCATGTAAATAAAATAATTGTCATTCAACTGATTTGTGAGAGTATTTAATTATTACGACAATTTAAAAAAAAAAAGTTACCAATAGGAAAGAGATGAAAATAATTAACCATAAATCATTTTAATTCAATAATTGGTTCATTTAATTTATGTATAACTAAATCTATCAGATTACATTGTAACAATTTAAATTGTTCCGTTGATGATTTTGTTTCATTTGATTTTGGTTGAAAACAAAGTTTTACTTTTAGTTGGCTTAATGTTGAAACAATTTAATCGATTTGTTAATCTAATTTAATTTAAATGTACAATCAACAATTAGTATTGGAAAAACAAAAAGATCATCTCGGATTTAAATTGTTATGGTTGTTAACAATTAACTATTAATTGGTTAATTGTAATTGGAAAGAGGCGATGAAAACTTTCCTGAGAGAAAAAGTTTATTTTTCTTAATTGAAACACAATACAAAATCATTACCAAGTTAATTGTTGTTTAACAATCGTGTGAAACTAATTAACAACAGTTAATTATTAAACTAATCAACCAATCGTTAGATGGCGATGGTTATAATTACATAGACATCCGAAGACACAATTTAACTGTTGATGGAAACAACAATTAACTTCACTTTCAATTCTCATGTTGATCAGTTAAAATTGATTAAAGTTAAACTGGTTCTCTAGTTTTTTTTTACAATTAAAAGTGTTCAGTGATTTTCAATGTGATTTGTGATCAACAATCAGGCTAATCAATTCCTCATCATTAACTACTAATCTCACCCGATTTAATCGAGTGTCTTTTTAATTAACCAATTAACTCGATTTTTCGAGTGAGATTGTGTTGTTGTTGGTGAACTTTCTTCCCTGATTAGTTAATTGTTTCATTCTAGTGATTAAAAGTAGAGTATTTCTTCAGGTATCGATGTGATTAATCAAATTTAAATCGATACTTGATGAATTACTTTCATCTTTTTTTTTACTTTAATCTCATCATTAAAATTTAAGTCTAGTGATTAACTGAAATTGTCAAATGAAAACAAAATTAAAGGTAAGATTTTATTTTATTTGATTTGGTTGATTTAATTTAATTGTATTGAATTGAATTTATTTTGTTTCTCATAATCAACAGGCAACATCCAAAGTGGTCTTAAAATAATAGTTAATTGTTAATTTAAAGTCAACGAAAAAGTAAAGAAGGAAAAACAAACAAATTAAATAACATCAACAATTAAGAACGAAAATTTTGTTTTCTAACAATTATGGTGATTAACAAGGAACAATAATCTTTGGTAAATTATGTATACATGATGATTGATTTTATCCCTTTGATTGTGGACAATTAACAAATGAGCTGACAAACAATTAGTTGATAATTTAACCAGAAATCAAGGTAAGAGTGAAATCATTTTGAAGCTTTTTAATTGTTGAAACCACTGAGTTGATTAGATTGTTGTTGTTGTTGTTGTAGTGATTTAGACGATTCTGTGTGATTATTATTATGGTTGATGTATTGTTATTGAGAAAGTGATTTAAGAAGCAAAATAATTAGCTTGATGATTAAGAAGGCAATTAATAACTCCCATTTTCTCTTAATTATATAATTTGAGTAATTACAATTAGAGAGAGAGAAGAGTAATTAGAGTGAGAGAGAAAATGTCATGAGCTGTGATCATCTTTGTATCATTGGCTATTAATTTCCAATAAATATACTGACTAGTTAATTGTAATCATCTAAACATAACTGCACATAATTAACTTTTTTTTCAGGTTTAGATTTGCCTTGAACGAAATAAGCGGAAGTAGATGTTATAATATTAATATCAATCCATTGAGACAATTAATTACAATTATCTAGTGGATGATGTTGGTGTTTGTTGTTGTTGTTGTTGTGGTGGTGGTGGTGGTTTTCGGTGGTGTTAATTGTTGATTAATAACTGGATTACATTGATTCCTCAATCTTGATCAACTCAAGAATACCATCTTGCATTTCCTTGACGGCCTGGTACTCGGTAAGTCCTAATCGTCTCTTGTTGGAGATATCGTAAACACCACCTTCAGATTCGGTGTGTTCACCTCGAGTACCTCGAACTTGTAAACTGTATTTAGCAGCGACTTCGTCAAGCTTTTTCTTATCAGCGGCAAGTTTGGGTAAAGCGATGTGAACACTGGCTCTGATTGTGGTACCAAGATTGGTTGGACAGAAGGTCAAATATCCAACTCGATCGTCTCTGCTGAAGGGCATCTTAGATTCAATAGTACTAACAGCCTAGAAGAAGAACAGAAAAAGAGATAGAATCAGTTCAATTATATTGTCATGGAAATTATTCAATTACGATTGAGTGAAACTCTCTGACGATAAGACTTTAAGCTAATACGATGTTTGGAATTGAAGTTCAATTCTATGTTCAAATTGAGTCGATTAGAGATTCAATTCGATACATTATCCATTCTGTTGATTGTTAATTCGTTGGGAATAGAAAATGAACTTACCCTGATGAGTCTATCAAAGATATTCTTAAGATCAGCTCCTTTCTGCATACTAATGATTCGAAGATGATCTTCCTCATTGACCCAGACCAAGAACGATTTAGCGTCATTGTGGTAAATACCTCGACCTGTAGGCCAAAATCGGCAGGCATTAGCTGCTTGTAAGAACCTGAAGTTAGCGCGTAATAGAAACAACAGTTTAATTAAATTGTTATTCTCCAACAATTGTAAACAAAAGGCCAAACAATTAAATTTCTACTTACCTATCGCCTTCCTTGAAAAGGAAATGATCATCGATTAATTGTTGTTGAACCTCTTTGCTCATTCCAGTTAATGGAAAATAAGTTCCCTTAAGATCACCTTCCATTCCCTTAAAGATTGCGCTAACTTTGTCCTCCATCTCTTTGTATTGCTAATGAAAGTAAACATAATGACAGAAAAAGAAGAAAACAAAATTAACTTTAACAATCAATTAACAATCAATCGTTTTAAATCAAATCAATAATCACTAAGAGAAAACCAAGTCTACAACCAATTGATCTTTACACTTTCACTTGATGTAATTGGAGCTCTCAACCCCTTTCCTTGGATATGTGATCTCATATTGAGAGATTAACTAACATCTCATTTCCTTTCCATCATTACCAATTGACTAATTAAATTTAATTACTGTTCTTTTTGCAGAATTTAAAATGATTCGAAAAATAATTTTATTCACTTTTCTCTCCTCTGTCCATTTTATTATTTTCCTCGGACGCAGGTAATTGTGTTTGTTTCTAATTATATGAGTAAGTGTTGATGTTCAAGAATATTAATCAACTGATGGATTAATATTCTGAGATTAGTGATTAATTTAATCTCTTATGTAACTTACAGCTTCGGTGAGACATGGATTGAAGGGATAACCTTGGAGACTTCGACCACATCGGACTCGGGTGGAAACAACGTATTTACCAGCGGGATCTAAATCAACCAAAGTGTTGATATCACCCCAATCGGATTTGGGATGTTGATCAGTTGGCTTGAATCCTGCATGATAATCCTCAATGATTGGATCAAATAATTCCTTGAAAAGAGTATAAGATTCAGCATCAGGAGCATAGATACCAATTCCAGAATCCAAGTTCTCAACCCCTGAACGAATAATAAAACAAACCAAACCAAACCAAAAGAATTGTTATCATATAAAATCAATGAAACAAATTAGATAATTCAATGAATGATGGAATAGCTCATGAGCTCCAATTTATTTTACTATTTCAGCATTTCAGGAAGAAGAATTGATTTGAATCAAATCAAATCAAATCGAAGACAATTGATATCAAGTTACATGTTTACCAATATTTACATGGATCATTTACAACGAAAATTAGTCTACCAAACAATCAACTCATCCTAATTATTCACAATTCTGCATGTTGACAAAGTCTTCATTGATTATATACTCATGGAATCAACAATTAACTTGTAATCCTTTCTGCAAACAGTTTTTTTTGTTCATCATCATCATCACCATTTTGTTTTACTTGTGCCAAGTTATGTAAGTATGAAAATCTATCAACCTCAAAATGTAACTCTGTTTCAAGGGAGATAATTAGTTTAGTTAATCTTGATGAGTTACAATTTGCGCCTGACAATTTAGCTTAACTCAATTAAATCACCTTGATAATATATTCTTATTGTTTTCATTCAACAATTTGTAGGTTTGATTTGAGAATCATCATCAAACCCAAAGTACAAACAAGGTATTATTATTAATACTTTGGTGTGTGTTTATATTATCTTGGGATATAAATTATTCTTGTAACATTTACACTCAACAATTTAAACTGAATTAACTTTTCTCCTTCAGTGAATCCATGATAATAATCACTGTTAAAATGATTCTCATCAAACATTTAACTTTTATCCATCCAGCTAACAGCAATTAACCCTATCAAAACTATTTATCTAATTATTTTATCCCCAATTACTTTTACAAAGAAAATGATCAACATCATTAGTTTGTCTGTTTAATTACTTTTCCAACCGTTAACCAATTAACTGATTAACATTATTGTTTTCTATTAATTTAACAGTTAATCCAAACACCAGAACAACAATTACATTGATTTGATATCAATTTCAAAACAGAAAACAGTTAACCATAATTATTTTGAAACTAATTTCATCTAACTTGAAATAAGAAAGTAACCAAATTAAATTAACCAATGAAAGACAACCCATCATCATAAAAGTTAATCATGATTAACAGTAGGCAATCAATCATTGAATAATAACCGATAATCAATAGAATTGATTTTCGTACATCCTTTAATCACTTACCATTTTTCGTTCTCTCTCTCTCTCAATTGATTATCTTATTCATTAATTTCTAATATTTGCTTTTTCTCATTCATTTTGTTTTTTTTTTCGTTCAGCATTTCGTCCATACGAGTGTTCAATTACAATTGTAAATCGGATTGTAGTTAATTGTAAATAGTTATCATGGAAACTAAACAAAGATATCAATTTACCTTGGAAAATAAACTGTAAAGACTAATGGATTTCGAATGCAAAAACAATCAAGGAACATGAAACTTTTAAACATAAACGGATGTTATTGGATAATCAAGGATCTAAATCATAAAACAATCTAATGATTAGTCTGTGGTAAATGAGAATGATGATGAAAAGCTCACTTGTCTCTCTCTCTCTCGAATTATTTTACTCAATATATGAAAGATGATTCTGTAAGACTGAGACTGAGAATGTGTATGTGTGTGTGTGTATGCTAAAGGAAATGCTTATCAAGGGTCAAATCAAGGTTATTGAATATGTGTCATTTTCGTTACCTGATTGGATGATATCGAGTAAAGTTGCACCCATGGCAGTTTTCCTGGTCTTTAGAGTATCGAAAACTTCCTGAGTAAGGTATTTTTCAGTAAGGATTTACAATCCTTAGCATCCTGAAGTTTCTTGAATCCAGCTTCAAGTTTCTCAAGAGTAGCTGCGTCAACCATGTTGCTATTATGATGATGATGGTGGAAAAGTTCAGGTAGAATTGAATATGAAGAAGATGTTGAAAAGAGAGAGAGAGAATAGAATAAATTAGATAATCGTATTTTCATTCGTGGTTTTCATATTCTAATATCATCATTGATTAACTAGAATAAAGAGAATGAGATGACAAAAAAGTCAGAAATCACAATATAGCACAACATTATTATTAGAACTCGAAATATTGATTTTCTTTTTTGGATAAAAAAGATGATAGAAACAAAGAGATTTAGATTTCTCTGTATTTCGAATGTTTTTTTTCTCTTCTTCTTCCTCGAATCTATTGTTATTTCGTTTGTAGGTATAGTTTTATGATTCGTTGATGATTAGAACATTATTGAAATAAATTACATGAATATCGAACCTGATTAATGGATTGCTGGTGAATATCGATGATAAACAAATTAAATTGTAAATTAACAAGAGGAGATAAATGTAGATTAGATAATCAACTTGGTTGGTTGAGTTTTTAGTTCAAGTTACTTGTTTGAAATGATTATAACTAATAGGTCAGAGACAAGTTCGACCTGAGAATTTACTTCGAAATTATCGAATGTTGCGCATGTTATCTTAGATTTAATTCGTCAAGAGATTCGAAGAAGAAGGAGAAGATGATGATGATGATGATGAAGACGAAAGAAGATGATTGAAAAAAAAGAAAGAAAAGAAAGAGGAAATAAAGGAGAGGCCCAACCTACGACGATAAGGTAACAATTTCTGGCAACAAAATCATCACATCGAGTGAGATTGTTGTTTATGAAGATGATTTGGATGATGAAGATAAAAGATGAAGACAGAGAGAGAGAGAAAGAGAGAGAGAGAGTAAAATTAAGTAAGGATAGAATTGAATTCGTATTTGAAACCCTTCATCAATTTACAATGAAGAGTAATTTGAATTACCATCACCTCCCTGTGAGTTACATGTTACCATCATTTCGTTATTCAAATAACCTCCCAGAGACAACAATGTCTTTGCCAAGATACTTTTTTAGTCTTGACAACAGTTAATTGTTATGTTTGCGAAATTATCTTCATAATTTAGATTATCTCCATCTCGGATAATCTTTATCAATATTCAATCGTCATCATTATTGTCATGATTGTTTTATATATATTCTTGTTGATGGTTAACTTTTGACTATCGATGATTATTCATTGTTATCATTTGTTGTCAATGAAAAAGCTCAAGGTTATTTTTTTGTAACTTTTTCTCTATCATGACTCTATGTTTGGTTCATTTTCATCATCATCATGATCGTAATCATCAGAAATGATTGTCAGAACATTGAACAAAAATAGAGGATGTGGAAACCCTTTTACATGGTTCCTTTTTTTGGCTTCTACTCCGATAAAAGTAATGAGTTTCATGTCCTTTACTTGAAGGACGATTGATCATTTTGTCTTCTTTATCTTCATCATCATCATCATCTCTCTCTCTCTCTCTCATCACCTAACTGAATCTTTTCCCTGAAGTTCATCTTGTCACCTGAAAATGTCTGATTTCATCTCCAAGTCAAGAGATTCATCAGAATACCTGTCAAGGTGTTAATTCAGATTGTTATCCATTCATTTAGTTTCATTGAATCAAATTAAATTCACTTTGACAATTTCAAACTCTATCAATTCAATATCCATGTTATTACATGACTATTGTCATAGGAATGAATTAGAATTGAGAAAAATACAATTAGTTTAATTTTCTCGTTCTTTTTTGTAAACAATCATGTTGAACTTAATTGTTTAACATGATGTTTCTTGGGTCCAATTGAATTAATCTCTCGAAATGATTTACAATTTGATTAAGATTCACAATTTACTCACTGCTTAATTGGTGACAATTGGACTTTTTTGACCTTAGTTTTAACACAGCCCATGATTTGTTTATCAACAATTTAAGACAAAATTAAATATTGACACAGATTAATATCACTAATTAAAAATTTATCTCAACAATCAGAATATTATATCAAGGAAACTATTGTTTTCTCGTTAAAATTAATTAAATTATCCACTTAATCAAAGAGGAGTTTTAATCTTTCCTCTTAAATTAGTGTAAAATCAAATTTGATTAGTATCTTTGTATTGACATTTTAGAATCAGTCTAACAATTAACAATCAATATGATGAATAATTTAATAGTCTGAATAAGATTCACCGTTAATCAATACAATTGATTTTAAAAAGATTTCATTTATCTAATTGTAGATTTTAATATGTAATCAAATAGAAAATCAATCATTTAAATTACTCTTTAAATGATTAATTAAAATTAATTTTTTTCTCTCATAGATATTTTGATTAACTGATTGATCATTTTGATTAACCAACCAACTGGTAAATTGTTGTGTTCTCGTGATTATAATAATAAACTAAATTATCTGAGTAAAAGTTTGGGACACTTTTTCTCATCTTAAAACAAGATTAAGTTGATAACAATTAAGATGATTTAGATTATCTTTAAGTAACGAATTACAGATGAAAACATTTAACAGTTACAACCAAATTAAGTTTGTTGCTTTTAGGAGGCGATATAGTGATGCGATTTTGTTTTTTTGGCAACAAACTAATTTCTTAATTGTTACTGAATTATAATTGTGAGCAAGTGGTTGATGAAGACAGGGGAACAAGGTGATTCCTAAATATAAACAATCAGAGGATGAGGATGATTAGGATGAACAGAAAATGAGATAAGTTATTTAAATGGTTTTCGTATTACAATCAATTTACTTTGTCTTATGAATTCACATTATTGATCAGCTTCAATGATAATCAATCAATTTCTCGTGTGTAATCAGGGAAATATGATTCTTAATTGAAGCTTATCATCATGATTAACTTGATGGTTAACTTTTCAATCAATTGTTACAACATGAACATTAGTATTATCTTATTAAAGGGTTCAAGGCATTTCCATAACAACAAAGGAAGAGGAGGAAAACAATTATATATCCGTTGGGCTGCAAGTTGATTGTTTCGACTGAATTTTATTGATTCAGTTTATGTGAATGGTTAATTAACCTAATTCGAGAGTCAATTAGACTATTATTATTATAGTCTAATTGGACTCACCTTCAAATGTTTCAAAAATCTTTGTTTAAACTGTTAACTGCAAGGTTACGATTGATTCCTGTGTGATTGATTTTGTACATTTTGTTGATTGGTGAAAATTGGAGATCAATCAATTCAGCTCATTTGGTGATGATTTAATTGTCCATGTTAATTAAAAAATTTTCATCTATTTACATGATACTTTTTGTTTTCATTTTGGTTCGAGTTTAGTGGAGTTGTTGGTTTTTTTCACGTGGAATTAATTTGAGGTGAAAAAAAAGTGTTAAATTCAAAATGAGAGACGAGGTAAGTTTAACCATCACAAACATCCAATTTATGAGCTCTTAGTAGATGATCATTAAGTGCTCGACGGAAGGGTAATGATTTTCCACATCCGGGTACTACACATTTCTTGTCAAATGTATAACCCTCAGGTAATTTCTTGTGGTCAATGTTGTCTTTATACTGTTTATTACAAACAGCGCAGCTTTTTGTTGAAGCTGATTCGTCACATTTGGTGGTTTTCTTATTTTTCTCCTCTTCGGCTTTTCTAGCAGCTTCCTCTTCTTCCTGTTGCCTTTTCTTTTCTGCGACCTTTCGTGCGGCTTCTTCTTCTTGTTTCTTTTTCTCTTCGGCTCTTCTGGCAGCTTCTTCTTCTTCTTGTTGTCTTCTCTTTTCTTCGGCTTTTCTTGCAGCTTCTTGTTCCTCCTTCTTCTTTTCTGCTGCTTTTCTAGCAGCTTCTTCTTCTTGTAGCTTCTTTTTCTTCGGCTTTTCTTATAGCTTCTTCTTCTTCCAGTTGTTTTTTCTTTTCTTCGGCTTTTCTTACAGCTTCTTCTTGAATTCTATCAGCTTCTTCTCCTTTAAGTTTAACATTATCGACTTCAGGCTTTCTCTTTTTATCATGGACCCGTGGAGTATTGTCAATATCCGAAGTACGCTTTCTTTTTACAAGTACTTCATCTCCATTTAAAACACTATTTGAAAGATTACCACTGGAACCATTGAGTTTATGCTTTGATGAGCTTTTAAGAAAATCAGTAATGAAAGTAACTAATGCAGACAGTCCAAGATCCTCAGCACATTTAATTATTTGATTCATTTCATCAGAATCCTCTTGAAGTTTAATACGTCCAAAATACATATAATCTAATATGGCCTTGAGATGATTAAATTTCATATTCACTACGGCAATGGTGTTGGGAAAATCTTTCTGTTCTTTAAATAAATTACTGAAGTGTATTGAGTGTAAAACCAGAACATGACGGTGACACTTGATGTTTTTACCATCACACATCAATGTAATCTCACAATTTGTTTGACTGTTGAAACTATTCTGAAGAGACCGGACAAGGCTTTCAGCAATATTCTTATTTGTGATGAACATGGTGGAAAAGAGAAAAATGACGACTCAGAATAAAAGGAAAACGATAGAAAAACTCTAAATAATTATAGAAAATAATAAAAAAAAGTCAATGGTCGAGGTGAAAAAACAATGGAGAAATAAATTTAAACTCTTAGTCACATTGGTCAACGGCGAGTCGAGTTGTTTAAATATCACAAGGCCTGTAAAAGAATGGAACATATAACGATTGTGTCGCCATCGAGTAGAATTTTTTTCAAAGAACAGAAATGTTGTTCTTTCTTCGCCTGCGCCACCTGGAGGAGAATAGAAAAACTTTGTAAATTCTTTTTCTTCCCCAAAGTGATGGTCAACTTAAAGCTCAAATGTGATTCTATTGGTCTTTCTCTCTGTTTAATTTATTATTATTTCTATTCTTTTAAATTTGTTAATTTTAATGAAATTTCGTTAATTGCAAGTGATATTTTACTACGATAGAGAAGAACAAGTAAGTATTGGTTCTAAGTGAATGAAATGATTATGTTATTCTCTTCCATAATGAAAAAAGTCAATTTTTATCATGGAAACAAATGTAACATATATTTAGTGCCCTGCCTATTATTTTATTGTTTTTTGCTAATCTTTTTAATTATGAGTTAATTTTTCATCTTTAATTCTTATTCATTTCATCAAATATTGTGTAATTTATTAGTTGGTTAAATCTCGATTTTATCCAAAGAGTAGAGTTTACTCCTTTGGTTTAATTGATTAGCTTTGGCTACTCAAAATGTGATTGATTAATTTTCTTTTTCTTTTTCTATTTTTGTTTTTTTTTCTTCTCCATAATAGTGTCTCCAGTTAGTATGAGCGAATCTGATAAAGATAAAGGAACTGGCATTAGTAAAAAGAATCCATTAGAATTGAACTCATCTCCCACATCTAATGGTGATTCTAATAATTTAGATTCAGCAACATCTTCTAATTCATCTCCACCCAGTCAACCATCTAAATACTCTAGTGTAAGTGGTAAATGTTTCAATTGTTCATGTTTGTTTTCTTTCTTCATCACTGACTGAAAATCAACTTTAATTAGTTACAGTTTAATCTGATCTAATTACTTATTTTGATTTACTTTCTGGTTGAACGATTATCTGATGTTAAGTTTTTTTTTTTTCTCTTCTAATTTGACCTTTTCATTTGTTTCCTTTTACCTTTTTCCCGTTTCATTGACTTCTTACTACAGATACCTGTTAACCGAGTTTGTATCACCAACGAAACTGAACCAACTAATGATAACCGTAGAGATACTGAGACTCCTTTTAATTCAACAAGTGGAGGTTCATTCACTCAAGATTGTCAGTCAATTAATGATTCATCATTATCCATAACTTCAATTGAGAATAATGAAACAGCCACAAGAGCTTTTAATTGGCAGGTAATTGAAAGACACAATAACCTAAATTTGAATTGAAGATTGTGATCACAAGTCACAAACATTTTGTTTTCATTTCATTTTATTTAGTAGTTGATTATAAACAAACAATATTTACTCTCATCATTATATCTAATCTTAATCTCTATTTTTCCCTTTATTAACTTTTTCCATAGTCATCGAAAACAACAGTCCAAGAAAGATTAGCTTCATTGTTTAATTGTGAAACATTGGCTGATGTACATTTCATTGTTGGTCATGATAATCCACCAAATCGGATACCTGCTCATAAATTTGTTTTATCCATTGGAAGTCCAGTATTTGATGTTATGTTCAATGGACAATTAACCTCAGAGGAAGATATAGAAATACCCGATATAACCGATATTGCAGCTTTTATGTCTCTTCTTCGTTTCCTTTATACCGACGAAGTTGTAATTGGACCTGAAACAGTTATGACAACTCTTTATGCTGCTAAAAAATACGCTGTACCTATTCTTGAGAATTCATGTGTTGAATTTCTCAAGCAGAATTTAAGTCCTGATAATGCCTTTATGCTTCTTATGCAGGTAAGAATTGTGACACTTTCCTTTCTTCTTTTCTCTTGTTCTAATTATCTTTTCTTTTCCACTATCTCATTTTACATGACATGCAATAAATTAATCTTTCTTCTAATTTACTTTCCATCTTTCCAACATGATGATTAATATACAAATGTAATTTTTACTCTTCTCTCATTTTTCAGTCTCGTTTGTTTGATGAAAATGCTTTAGCTCAAATGTGTTTAGATACTATTGATAAAAGTGCCGAAGAAGCTTTGGAAGCTGAAGGATTTGTGGACATAGATCATGCAACGTTAATCTCCGTATTGGAAAGGAATACTCTTCGTATTAAAGAAATTAATCTATTTAAATCTGTTATAAAATGGGCCAAAGCTGAATGTACTCGGCAAAATCTTCCAGCCAACCTTGAAAATCAACGAAAAGTTCTTGGTAAAGCTCTTTACGCCATCAGATTTCCGCTTATGACCATTGAAGAGTTTGCCTCCGACGTTGTTGAATCTGGTATTCTAACTGACAGAGAATGTGTAAGTTTATCTATGACTCTTTTAAATTCTCAATCTAAAAAATTGCAAGTTCTATCTATCTAAATTGTAAATTTTCCTCTTTACAGGTTAATCTATTTCTACATTTTGTTCGTAATCCAAAGCCAACCATAGAATTTCCTGAAGAACCTCGATCATGTGTTAAAAAAGAAGAAGTTGTTTGTCGTTTTGCAAGAACTGATCTTAGGTGGGGTTATAGTGGAACCAGTGATCGAATACGTTTCGTTGTTGACAGACGAATCTATATTGTAGGTTTTGGTCTGTATGGATCAATTCACGGTGTCTCCGATTATCAGTGTACAATTCAAATTATCCATACTGGTACCAGTAAAGTTTTAGCTTCTAACGATACCGGATTTACATGTGATGGTTCATCACGAACATTTCGAGTCATGTTTAAAAAACCGGTTGAAATTGAGCCTGACGTCAATTATACTGCATGTGCAACTCTAAAGGTAAATTGTACACAACAATAATTAATAATTTATTATGATTAAGATTGTGGAAAAGTCTGAAAAGTAAAACTGAAAATTGTTTATTCAAGCAATTAAGGTTTCGTTACTTTCAATTAATCTTGAGAAGAAAAAAAAGCAAATTATTTTACAACAATTTAAATGTAATATCTTTTTCTCATCCAGGGATCTGATTCTCATTACGGAGCTGGAGGCAGTCGAAAGGTTGTCGTTGATCTTATATGTGGTGGAAAAGTAACTTTCCACTTCTCTTATGCCGCAGGATGTAACAATGGAACCTCAATTGAAGATGGACAGATACCCGAATTAATTTTTTACACTTAAATCTAGAGATTTATAAATTACATCTTTCATCAAGCGACATAAACACCTTCTAACTGTAAATTGTTTTCTATTGCACAAAATCTTTGTGTATTATCCTCATAATATTGTGATCTATTATTAATAATGATAATGTTATTATTATCATTATTATCAACTATTGAGAAGCAATTTAACCTTTTATGTTTATAACTATTATAAATCAATTATATTTTGTAAGTTAACCAAGTTGACGAATCATAAATGTATCCAATATAATAATGGATAACAAGCCAGAGACACGGAGAAAACACTGGACGGGAATCTCAAATCAATTATGATTTCGTTTGTTAATAATTGTTATTGTTTTAAATTAATAAATTGTAAATGCATTTAAAAACTTCTCTAATCACATATGATTAGAGTGAAAGTTTTCGATTGATAATCAAGTAAAAATGATTACTTTCTATTAACTATTTACTTTCAGAATGTGAAAAGTTGATAAAATGCACGATAAAGATTAGGGAGAAAAAGAAGAGAGAGAGAGAGAGAGAGAGAGAGTGAGAGGTGAAGATGGAGAGATGAAAGATGAGAATTTTTTCTTGGGATGAAAAAGCGAAAACGATGAGAAGAAAAAGAGAGAAGAAGATGAAGATGAAAGAGAGAGAAGAGAAGATTTAAAGAGAATCCTGGACTTTTCATCTTCTCATCTTCATCTTGTTGATTCATTTTCTCACATTCTCATAACGTCCTAAACAGCGAAAAGTAGTAGGTCAAAAGAAAAGAACATTTTTTTTCTTTTCTTTTTTATTCCAATTCAATTTCGACCATTTTATTAAATTTCCCTCACTTTTGCTTCTCCATAATTGTTCACATTAATGCAACACTTTCTTTTCGCAGCAATTACAGTTTCGTTTTCTTCTCTCCATCACAATCAACCATCTCTTCGCATTAATTGACGTTTAAATGTTTTCTCTTCCAACCAAATCATCTTCATCTTCACTTTTCTTCATCTTCTGCTCTTCCTTTGAGTCTCTTTAATTCATTTCAATTCAATTCTATTCTCCTGCTTTTCCGAGAACTGCAACAAGTGTCTGTCTCTCTCTTTCTCTCTCTCTCAATTTAATGTTGTGCCTTTTCCGCCATTGTTGTTGTTGTTGTTTCCATCGTCCTCACAATCCAATTGATCTTAATACAAATGATCCAGTCAAAAGAAGCATCTTCATCCCAAGCAACTAAAGTACCAATTGATTTTGACGACGAACCTTCTGGGCCTTACATCCCTATATCTGAATGTTATACTGGGAAACCAGTTTCTTTCAAAGGTTATCCTAACAGTAACCATCACCTTCCCCCTCCTCCTCTGCCATCTTGTTCATCTTCCAGTGTTCACCATCCAATTCATCAGTCTCATGGACTGGGGTACAAGCAACTGACCCCCAGCCCTGGGGTCCATCATAACCATAACCTGAATCACAATCATCATCAGGTGACCAACTATGATGTTCCTCGTTCAAGTGTCTTCACCAAAGTAGCGCTTCGATCAACTCTCCATCCACTGGTCTCTCTCTCTCATCGTCCCACACACTCAATGCTCGTAAAAGCAAACCTCACAATCTGACTGTTGGTCCATTGAGTCATACACTCAATCGGCATGAGCGTCTCTCCGATTCCAACAATTCAACTCTTTCCCTTCGTAGTCGAGTCAGTAAGCCCAATGGTGAATTTGGCCATTCAAGCTACAGGAATGAACCACCGCCAAGGCCACCCAAGCCTAAGAAGTTGAACAATCGAAGCAAATCCGAAAGTTGCTCTCCTGCTTATGGAACAAACCATTTTAATAGCAACGATCATTTATCACCTTCAACTCCATTCAATAGTCATTTAGATTCACCATCGTCACCATCAGGCCAATTTAATCCCACCATTAATTCAAGTTCAAACAACAACATTAACATCAACATCAACAACATTATCAACAATAACAATCAACATAATAATCAACATAACAACAACATAGTAAACACCCCAACCTCTCAACCATTAACTCTTGATGATGTTTATGATTTCCCAAAATCAGAACCAGTATTTAATAGCATGAGAACTGCAATTCCCGCTCCTGGTAACCGAACTACCAAAGGGAACAGTCATTCTTACACTAATGCGCCTCCAGGTCATTTAAGTAAACCTCCAGTTTTCACTTACGATTACAAGGGAACTTTACCTGTTTATCTAGACGATAATACGATTGCTTTTGATTTGGATAATTGTGATCGATCTCCATCTACACCAAACTCTGCATTTGATTCGCTTTCTTCAAGCGGCTCTCTGTCCAAAAGTCTCACACCTCCGGCAGTTAATCGAGATTTAAAGCCAAAACGACGAGACTCTGATTCTGATACAAATGTTTCTCCGACAAGTCCAACATTTACTCTCGCACCTCCACCAGCTCACTCGAAATCTTATATTAAACCAACAAGGTAATTAATTTATGTCTAATTAAACTAGTGATTCAAATTTGTTTGATTAATGGTAAATTAATTTATTCTTATCTTTGAATGTTTATCATGAAGACTATTGAATGATGGGACACTAGGAGCTTCTTCACAAGGGAGACAATTTCAACATCATTTTCCTCGAGATGAATCAAATTCAGAAGAAGATACAATTAGTCACTATTCCACTTTGAATAAACAAAATTCATCTTTAGACAATCAGGTTTGTTCTCATCTCATCTCATCTAATTTCCTAAAATTTACCGTTAAAAAAATTACAACTTTCTTTTACTCTACCATTCAACTTATTAATTTATTTTCTCTTCTTTTCATTGATACTTTTCAGTCTCTCAAAGGATCTCCAGGAAAATCTCCAGGTGAATGCTCTGATGTAACTTACCTGGATCTCGATTTGAAAGATAAAAAAACTGATAAAGATTCTCCTAATTGTTCTGATCCAAACAAACCATTATCGAATCAACCAAAGGATCTTAATGAAAACTGCAATTCAAGCGATTCCCAGTCAACAGTTTACAAAAGTATCGATTTTGTAGCCACTCATGCTTTCCATCAATTGCGAATAAGTTCACATCGTTTTATTGGAAAAAAATAGATTTTCATTCATAAATTATCAACGAAGAAAAGAAATCACCATTAATTAATTAACTATTTACATGTTGTTTTGCAAACCTATTAAATTTATAACTGTCGACGAAGTGACCACAACCTCATAGGAGAAACGGATTCCTCTTGAACATTGAGCATTCAAATGATTCTAAGAATGTTCCTTGTCCATGATTAGTAATTAATCATATTTACTGATCACCAAAGAAAATATATTTTATTCACTATTTTCATTATTTCAATGGAAACAATTGAGCTAATTGACACGAAAAATCTTAACAATTAAACGAATCCTAATTCTAATCGACTCTATGTTTTAATAAATCATCTTTAAGCATATTTACTGATTGTTATTCTGTTATAAATTAAATCATTCACAAGAAATAAACAAATGAATTATTATTCAGGTTAGAATGATAGAAGATGAATGAAACAAAATATGATCGAATTTGAATTAAATCAGTTTCCCTCCCTGGTGGAAATTCTCAGAATTCTTATATCGATTGGAAATGATGAACAGAAGAAGATGATATATGAATATTTCAATTCTCTCTTTCTCTCTATATGATGATAAAAGAAAAAAAATATTCGAAAGAGAGAGAGAGAAAAAGAAAGAAAAAGAGAATAACATAACATTTGATTCTCATTCTTCACCAGAATTTTTCTCTCTTTCCTCTCAATCTCATCCATTCAAATGAATAAATATACATTGATCCAGAAATATTCTCAACAATTATGAACAATTAACTAATCAGATAAACGAAAGTCTAAAATAATATTAATCATAAATCCCTTTCATCCAAAGTAAACCAAAATTCAATCTAAGTATCAACTCCATTCCTTGAATATTATTCACTCTAAATGTTTCTATATGTTACCAATTGACGTCTTAATTGTTACTCTAAATACTAATTAATTGCTAAGTGATACAATTAAATGGATTATTTTAAATGGTTTTGTACAAATCAATTCATTTTACTATTTGTACGAAATTTTCTGGTCGTTTGTCTCCAAGGTCCTAATGTTTGTCCAAAGACCAAAGAGTATGTTTACCTTATTAATTTCTATCCCTTAATTGTTCACAATTAACGAAGATAACTAAATTGAAATTCCAAAAAAAAACGAACCCAAACTCTGAATCAAGTAAAATCGATCAGCTGATTCAGTTTAATGAAACTCGAAAAAAAATCCAAGTACAATGAATATTATCAATTCGTAACTTCATCAGTTGATTGAGATTTTTTTCCTTCGACGTCTAATCCAATTTACTAATCACTTATTTCTTGATGATTATTGATGTTGTTTTATTTTTCTTTCCCTCGAATCATCATTATTTTGGACAATTACTTTTCGCTCAGAATTAACCAACCTGTTAACATATCAAGTACAATTGAAATCGATCAACAATCTTACACTTGGTGTTTACAATTTCCTCCAATTTGTCTCGAAAATCGGTAAGTTACTTGATCATATTTACTTATTATCAATTTCTACCTCAACTTTGATATCGAAAATATCGAAACATTGATGAAATGAAAGGGAAATTATTCTGAAAGAAAAAGAGTAACAAGGAAAACGAATCATTTCTATTCTTATGATGTTCCATTGTTGTCATATTATTGTCACTTCTCTCTGAGAATTCCTGAGATGATACAATTCTAGGAATATACATGATAGACTCCATTTTATCGATAAAATGTATACACAATGTTCGAGAATGAGTAAACTCTATTCGATTGCTTCGATTCTCTTTTATTACTACGAACAATTTCATCTTTCATCTTAATATTTTCCTTTTCTTTTGTTCTATTCAATAGAATAAAATAATTCTCACAATTTGCTTAATATCATTTAAAAAGTTCTCCCTTCATCTTGATTATTATAATTCGTTTGTAAACAATTAATCCAATCGATTCGTAAATAAACATATAATCAACTAACGAAATTAATATGCAAACATATTCATTGCTCGTTAATTTGATTGTACATTTATTATTATTATTATTATCGTGATAATATGAAGGTTGATATTTTGATCAGGATCAATTCTGACCACTGGTCATCGTTATATTATCACCATTTAATTGTTTCTCAATCATCTTTGACATTTCAATGATCATCATTTGATATTTATCATGATAGACAAATAAAACTTTTGTAAATATTATCAATATTTTCATATATATTTCATATCATTGATTTAGTTCAATTTAAATTCAATTGTAAACATAATCGTAAATATCAAATGTTCAATTGAAACGATTTTTTTTAATATAATTTCATTTTTTTGTGTCAATGATATTAAAAGTTATCGTTTTGTTGTATATTACAATTTCCAATTAGTTTTACTATTAGAATCAAGTTTAATCATGTTAATCATGATTAAAATTGTAAGACAACTGGAAATTGTAAATGACAAGAATCAACTAGGATTTAATATTAGTTTACCTTTTTTGTTTACTGGAGCTTCATGTTAATAGGTTGGAAGTAATTTAAGAGAACAGTTTAATTCACAATTAGTTAATCAACTTTTCTCTGAAAAAGTTCTCAGTTTGTTTAGTATTAAATGCAAATAAATTTGCAATTTAATTTAGTTTATAATAACTTATTATCTTTGCTTTACTTTTACCACTTAAGGTAAATGTTTTGTATGCAATCAAAGACCAAATGTTTGCATGTTAATTACTTTGTTGATTTGTAATTGACAATTGTAATCATGGTGAAAGTTGCTTGTTTTATATTGCGATTGAAGATAATTGTTACCAAAATTCAGGTTCAATGATTTGATCAAATTTTTTCATCAATTTCTTTGTCTTTTCATCTGATTGTTAGCACTTCATATCAAGAAGTTACCAAAACTGTTTGGGAAACCAAAAAGATAACCATTGATATTTGTTGTGATGGATTCCAGGAGATTGGTGATTATTGTTATCGTAAGTATCAATTAGATTTTCACCAACACTTGATCAATTGTATTTTCATTAATACATCATAATGTTGTTAATCTTGAAAATCAATCAAATGATCACATTGTTTACATGGTAAATGATGTTGATCCTTTTGTTTCCTTTCTCGTTCTTGATTTTGCTCATTCCATCAATTGTATCAATTTAGTTTCTTTTTTGTTCTTCATGTTCCATTACAATTATTTCTGGTGAATTTATTTTCGTTTTTTTTTTGCTTTTCCTGGAAATAGCTGCTGAATCAAATGAATTTATCCTTCCATATGAACCAGTCTCCTATGATCGAGATTATTTACTTGACCAACGGCGAGTCCATCGATCAAAAAGGTCAACATCAACATTCAAGGACAATCCTGGATCGATGGATAGTTTTTTTAACAATTTTTGGAACCAAGCACATAACCAACCCAAAGAGAATTTTATTTTAATAAATTTTACTGCTTATAATCGTCTATTTGACCTTAAATTAACTTTGGACAACAGCCTTTTCTCATCTGAGACAATATTTGAATCAACAAGAAGAGGAAAATTTCATTATGACACCACAAATGCCTTAACAGGAGCTCTCAGTGGTAAGCCAAAACCATCTCAATCCAAATTATAACACCTTGATCCTAAATAAACAATGAAAAATAACACAAACAAAGAGAAAAACAAAATTAATATTGATTAAAATTCAATCAATCAATTCTTACTCACCAAATATCAATCAGAAATTAATCTCCTTCCAATAGAAAGAAAATGAAAACATCACCAGTTAATCTCAAATAAAACCTACAACTTTCTACATTTTCACAAGAAGAAAGTTAATTGTTAAAAATATTAGAAATTAACTACATCATGTAATTAAATCTCCCAATTAACTGAATCAAGACAATTTAGATTTTTCATTTTCTTTGTTTACTAAATCAAAATTTTCTCCACTTTTGATTGGTCAATTCTCAGAATTTAGTGTGTTAATTAGCCATAGTCTCCAAAGGGATACACCAGATGACACTTTCCATTAGAAAATTAAACAACAATTAAAGTTGAAGAATTGAATTAATTTTTAATGTTTTCTTATTAATTAATTTCTTTTTCTTTTTTTTTCTAATTAGATGAAAATGATTCTCACGTTGAAGGAGTTCTCACTAGTGATGGACTATTCGATGGACTGATTCGTTCTAAACTAGAAGAATTTTACATTGAACCTTCTTCTCGTTACACTAATTTAAATTCAACTTCTTTCCACACTATAATCTACCGAGTCTCCGATGCTCTACTATTAACATTGAACATTTCTAAATGTAACAATTCAATTGAAAATTTAGCCCCTTTATCTTCATCAATTCTGTTTGGAAATTATTGTCTATCTTCAATCGTTAAAACGGTTACTCTGGATGTTGTTAATGGTACTCAAGTAAATGATTCTTTAAATGTAACCAGCTTACCAAATGAAACAACGAATCAAATCTCTGGTAACAATCATAATCGAGAGAAGCGTGACAATGAAAATACTCATCAACAATCATCAATTGTTTCGCCATCATCTTCATCTTCATCGTCAACATCAACTTTAAAGCTCAAGCAAACCTATTGGCGTGATTTTGATTCACTCAATTATGAGGGAGACTCAGAGGCTTATGGAATACGAGCCGTTCAAAGAGCTCATTGGCCTGAAGAGCGACATGAAAGGCACTTTGTAATTGATCCAAAAAAGACAACCTGTATGCTTTACCTGCAAGCCGATCATTTATTTTACGAGAAAATGGGAAGTGAAGAGGCTTGTATTGAAACGATGACACGCCATGTACAAAAGGTTAACAATATCTATCGATCAACAGGTAATAAGGATAAAGATTCCAATTGAAATGATCCATGATAATAATCGTTTTCTTTTGTTATTCTTAGACTTTAATCAAGATGGTCGATCGGATAATATTTCATTTCTAATCAAACGGATTAAAGTTCACACAACGGAAGCTCTCAAAGATCCTGTATATCGATACAAAGGGTCTTATGGAGTGGAAAAATATTTAGAACTATTTTCAGAGGAAGATTATGACGCTTTCTGTTTAGCTTATATGTTCACGTACAGAGATTTTGAAGGTGGAACATTAGGTCTTGCTTGGACTGGCGATTTAAAAAACGCTGGTGGAGTTTGTGAAAAGAATGGGGTTTGTATTAGTTGAATCATCTATTGATCTTTTCGATTGATTTTCTTCTGTCTCTAAATTTCGTTTCTTTCGTTCATTCAGCATTATCGTGGTAGCTTGAAAAGTCTCAATACTGGAATAGTTACTCTTCTTAATTATGGTAAACACGTTCCGCCCATAGTTAGTCATGTTACATTGGCTCATGAGATTGGTCATAATTTTGGATCACCGGTAATATTAATCATCATTATCTAATTCGTTGTCATTATATCATATAAATTATTCTTTGTCTTATTCACTAGCATGACCCCGAAAATGAGGGAAGTTGTGCTCCAGGAGGAGAAGACGGAAATTACATAATGTTTGCTCGTGCGACCTCCGGTGATAAGCGCAACAACAATCACTTTTCACTTTGTAGCCTAAAAAGTATCAACGCTGTTCTCAATACCAAAGCAAGAAGTTCAAAGGGCTGTTTTCAAGGTAATTGATTAACTTTTGGCTAATTCATGATGAATTCTGTATCCTCTTCCAATAATGACGAGAGTTCAATCAAATGATTTATGTATCTAGATCACCTTTTACCAAGTCTACCCTGAAAGTACATCAATGTATCTCAATTTTATCCTGATAAATTTACTACAAATTGTCATAAGTCTTAACGAAGCAAGAAAAAAATAATAACATTAGATAATAAGAGCAACTTATAAATCAGAATCAAGAGAATTTCCATTTGTCCAATTGATGCATTTTCTTCATGAAGATTATTACTTTTCTTATTTCCATTCTCATTGTTATTCTTTGATTCTTGTTAATACTTAGATATTTATTTATATTTATTATCTTTCATTTATTATCTTTTATTACTCTCGATTTTCTAACCTATTCCCTATAGAACCTCAAGAATCTATCTGTGGTAATGAGGTCGTTGAACCAGGGGAGGAATGCGATTGTGGTTGGGCTGAAGACTGTACGGAAAGTTGTTGTTTTCCAATGCAATCGAATCCACCCAAAAATGAGATTCCCTGTCGCCTTAGACCCAATGTTATCTGCAGGTAAAGTAACACCCGATTCACCCTTTCGATTGAATTTCCACTACGATGACATTTCACATGAATGAACTGAAATCTCATATGAGGATATTTTTTTGTTTACTTTCATGAAAAAACTTGATTCCATTGTTCAGTCCAAGCCAAGGTCCATGTTGTGCCCATGATTGTCGCCTTACCGTTGGAAATAAATGCCGAGATGATAATGGCTGCCGAACTGCAAGCTATTGCAAATATCCTTTTCATACATCGAATAATTGTTTATCTAATATTATTAGATTATTTTTCTCTTCCCGCATGTATTTAAAATTTGGAATTTTTTTGCATGAAGATCAACCTTTCCTTTTTGTTGATTCCTTGAGATTACTCGGTGAGTATTGCACCTTTGCATGGTTCGAATTGATCGCTTTTCCAATTACAATCATAATTCCTTAACTGAGAAACACTGGTCAAGGTCCTGGTTGTCCACCATCTACATTCGTCCCCAACAAAACAGTTTGTAATCAAGAATCAGTCTGTTTCATGGGAGTAAGTATTAATACCTTTAATTATTTTCTATTTTTCTATTTAGCCAGTTTAGTCTAAACTGTGAATTATTATTTTATCCTAATCATCAAAATTAACTTTACGCCTTAGAGCGCGGCCTTAGCGGGTCAATTGCTTTATACCCAGCGGGTCCTTCTCAATAAGTCTTAATTGAGAAGAGAGAGAGAGAGAGTTTGTTTTCAAGGAAAAACAATTAAACAGAACGACCTTAAATTATTACATTCGTATTGTGTCTTAATTGTTTTTTTTTGTTCTTTCACTTAGGAATGCACTGGATCTATTTGTATCGCCTATGGATTGGAATCATGTCAATGTAAAAAGAAATTCGATGAGCCCGATACCAAATTATGTGAACTTTGCTGTCGATTCCCTGGCGATGATTCAACTTGCAAGTGAGTGATAAAATTCAATTAATTTATCGAAAACTTCATTTCTGATATATCAAAGGCTTTTTATACTGTTTATTACTATTGTAATTTGTAATTCGATAGCATTTGTTTCACACAATATCACTTTTAAAAATATCGATACAAAATAAACAATCACTTTATTTTGTTATTTTGTATAGATTTTCATGTGACCTTGTGAACTCATAAAATAATTGTAAAGAAAGACTTTAAATTGTTTTGTTTATTTATAAATGTTGAAAATTGATTGAGTGCCCGAGGTCAATACATCGACTAATCTTATGAAACTCTTATGCTATAATATTAATTGTGTAGAGTAAATATTTAATTGATTATAGTCAATATCTAAATCTTGTTAACTATTCTCTTTAATTAGCAAATTTAAAAATCACGAGACTAATTTAAAAATCGATCATCTTTCTGGTTTAATGATCGATGTATCAGGTTACCACTAGTTAGTGAGCTCCACCTTCAGCATTTGCGCTTTAAGAAAATTTAAATCATTTAAAGAGTGAAAGTGATAATAGTTGTTCATATTTTTCCAATTGTTCCATTTCATGAATTTTTTGAATTCTCATCAATTTCAACCCGAAAATTATTAATACACTGAACAGCATCCAAAGGAAGCGCCTGTGACTCCAATTAGTCAATCATCAAATTAGAGAGAGAGAGAGTGTGGGAGTCTTGTTTGTCTCCCTTAGTGAGAACCTTTAAATAGGTCATTTGTTCACCTGTTTCAACAGTTCGTCTTTTGCTTCTGTCAAGTGCGTTTCTACATTATTATTATGTCTTCGTCAACTATGCCTTCATCTATTGTCCGTTTGTTTGACGTTGAATTTGATCGTTTTGATTATGATCTGATTCAAAGTAAAATGGAGCAGTTAACCAATTTGTCAAGATCTACAAGGCCTTTTTTAATCAAACCCCTTAGTCCTTTGGATCCCGAATATTTTCGTGATAACATGATAAAGAACGATGATTCGACCCTTGGATATGGTGGATATCCATCAGCAAAGGCCTATTTCTATCGATACAAAGCTGTTATTTGTAAATCAGTTGATTTGGTCCCAAAAACCCGTCGTTCACTTAATCCATATGAAGATGCTCTCATTCCAAAGGAAGTTTATTATGAGCATGCTGCTTCATGGGAAGATAAAAAAATTCATTCTGCTTTCATGGCAAATTGGCTGAAATTCACCCAGAATAGTGATCTTGCTGAGCATCTATTGGCTACAGGTTTTCATGTGATTGAAAGTCGCAAACCAAGACCTTGGGGCACCACCTCTCCGACGACTAATGATCGAGTCAATATTACTGGTAAAATATTGATGATTATTCGAGAAGAGCTTCGCCGTGAACGCGCTCGAGCTATTGTCAACGCTCACCCATATCTCATCACCGAAGTCAGTTGTCGATTAACCTAAACAACTTCGCCTCATGGATCTTATTAAATTCTGACCACGACCAATAAACTCATCTATTACAATAGACTTAAGCCTCCATTGGTCATTCTAATGTGAAGAATGCTAATTTAATAAGTTCTATAAATGATTTCGACAGCCAATCCAATCCAATTCTTCTTTTTTTTCTTTTTTTTGTGTTCTAATATTTAGACACTTTGGTGCTTTTAAGAATTTCCTTATTTATATTCTTCTCAATTTTGATATCCCCTTGAACTCCTTGATTAGTGATTTAACCCAAAGTCTTGTCTGATGATCGATCAGAATGAAGTTTTCATCTCTTATCAATTAACCCGTTTCTTATAAAAAGACTAATTTTCTTTTGAAGATCATCATTCGAGTGGAACACTGCCCCTTTAGATGTGCCTGATCTTTATTCCAAACCAGGAACACCATGTAACAACTATAACGGATATTGTGACATATTCCAACAATGTCGAGAAGTCGATCCTTCCGGTCCTTTGGCCACTTTGAGACGTTTTCTATTATCAAATGAATCGATGGCCTCAATTAAACGCTGGTTGAACGAGCAATGGATCTGTGTAATTATCTTATGTGTTATGGCTCTTTTAATTGTTGTAAGTTAATTGTAATCTTCAATTCTCAATGTCTATTTAGTGGATTAATTGATTTACATTTTTTAAACTTTAATTTTCTCTTTCCTTTTACAGTTTCTCTTGGTGAAAGTATTTGAGAAACGTAATTACGAGATACCTAAAAGTGAACTATTTGAATCTAATTGTTTGGATGTAACATCTTCATCCTCATCAACCGCCTCAGTTTTTGCTCGTCATCGGCACAATTCATCTTCATCAACATCGTCTTCCAGACCAGCAATGGTTCGTAACCATGGTAATCTTGTACGAACAAGTTTAGCCTTTGGCCATCAATTAAATTATCATCAACATGATAATCACGAATTCCACTGTCATCCACTTGGATTAACAGGCAATGGATGGGTTTAAATCACTATTCTGTTGATGATCCAAATTTACAGAATCAAAAAAAAACAACAAAAATGTTTAATCATTTCAGTTAATTAAAAATAAACGAAAATAATATTTATCAATCAACTTGATAATTTTCCGAATCACTCATTTAAACCAAACAACAACAACAACAATCAAAACATAAATTTTTTCCCAGAAAGAAATTAAATTTCAATCTGAGTGATCAGATTTCCTTTCGATCATTAAAACAAACCACCCAAATCAGATTATTCTAATTAAGATCCAACATGAGACAATCTGATCGTCTAATTGTGATCAAAATCTCAAATTGTTTTCATGGAAATGAAATTTACCACTTTTTATATGAAGAAAACCCCTAATCAGGCTTGGCTTTTACACTGTTACAGATGACGTTGTTGTCTATTAGTTGATGATTTTTCTTACAATTTATTAATTACTCAAGTGTTACACCTTATTTATTATTTGTAATTTAAGTGATAAACTTTCTATTAACATGAGTGTTATCGTGAATTGATCATTTAACTGTCAGAATGTGAGAAAATTGGCCAATCTTTTTACCCTTTCAACCTTTTCCATCGGTTTTGTTTTCCTGTTTTTTTCTTCTCCTTTATTTATTAATTTATTAATTTGGGAAAGGAAAGAAATTTATATTTCTTTATTACTCTTTCCGGTTTCAATAGATTCTATAAATTTGTTTTTATTTTGGTTGAAATTGTCATTTAGTTTATAAAAGAGAGAAGAGAAAAATATTAACCCAAGCAATATGTCTCAACGGACTCAAGCTCCTTTAACTGCAAACAATGCATCGGGTAAAAGGCTTCTTGATTCATTACAAGTTGATCTGAGGAATATTTCAAGTGAATCTAAAAGGAAACTTCCAGCCCTGAAAGAGGTAAGTTGTCAATCATTTCTAATCATTAAAAGGAAATTAATTTCTCCCTTTCTATCGTGTCCATTTCCTAGGCTGCTGAGGCTGGTATTGTTAAGCTGCGAAGTGCATCAAGTAAACACACAGATCTGAGATTAGGTGAGTTTCAATTTAATCTATTCTTTCATTGAATCAATTTAATGATCCTTTGTTTCCATAATTTTCTAAATTTTAATCGTCTCATTTGCTTTTCTTTCATATTTAATCAGCTCTCCTATCAGAAAGTCCAGAATTGTTGGAACCTTTTTTCATGGCATGTGATTCAAAGATCCCTAAGTTGGTTCTTATATCTTTAAATGCCATTCAAAGGTTAATCAGTCATGAAGCTGTTTCGACCACTGCAACCGTCCATTTAATTCATTGTCTATGGAATCTGATGGAAAATGAAATTGAAGAATTGAAATTATTACAAACAATGACGCTTCTCATTTCTACCAATGAAATTGTCCAAGGAGAAGCTCTTGCCAAAGGATTGGCTCTATGTTTCCGTTTACATTTTACCAAAAATCAAACTGTTAATAATACAGCCTCGGCCACCATTAGACAATTGGTATCGTTTGTCTTTGAGAGAGTCCAAGCTGAGGATAAAATAGATGATCCCAATGTTGCCAAGATTGTGGTTAATTACGAGGAGCTGAAAAATGGATCTAAAAATCCACCTCAATCTCTTCGTTCTGCTGCTCGAGATGCTTTCCTGTTGTTCCAAGATTTGGTACAATTAGTTAATGGTGATCAACCCTTTTGGTTACAAGGGTTAATTGAGATGACTCGAACTTTCGGTTTAGAGTTACTGGAATCCATATTTACCAATTTTTCAGATATATTCTTACGCCATGAAGAGTTCAGTTTCTTATTGAAAGAAAAAGTTTGTCCTCTTGTTATCAAGTTGTTCTCACCTAATATCAAATATAAACCTCACCACTCAATGTTACACCAATTACAACAACAACAGCAACAACAACAACAAATACAACAATCTCAACAACATCAATCGGATGGACAGCAAAGTAGCTTGACCTCTTCCGATAAACCAATGTTTCCAATATCTACTAGACTTTTACGAATAGTAACTGTTTTGGTGCAAAATTTTTATTCTCTTCTGGTAATTTGAATCAAATCAATCGAATTAATTTATTTATTGATAATCATTGTTTTTCTCTTTCATTTCAGATTACCGAATGTGAAATTTTCCTTTCACTGTTGATCAAATTTCTTGAAGCAGATAAACCTAACTGGCAAAGAGCACTAGCATTAGAAGTGATCCATAAAATGAGCCAACAACCGAAGCTTTTACAGTAAGTTGCGTTTAATTGCCATTAATTGATGTCAATTTTGTTAATCAATCACACTTTTTGTTTCTCTTTTTTTTATCTTCTCAGATCATTCTGCCAATTCTATGATATGAAACTTAACAGCTCGAAAATTTTCCGAGACATAATAGTAGCGCTTGGAGTTTATTGTCAATCTATTTTCATCTCCCCTCCAATTACACCCAGTTTACTTTCTTCATTGATAAATGCTGCGACAGTTGCATCTTCATCAGGTACACCACCAAATACTCCGAATGCTAATCAAATTAACTCTTCAAGTGGAGTTGTCACTCCTCAACCCGCTTTCCTCCTTCGAGGTACATGGGTTCCTGTAATATTTACATTAAATATCGGACAAAGTAAGAGTTATTTTCTTGACCAATTGGACAAATTGGAAGCTCCAACGGTACCCGATGGCTATGGTTTAACTACTGCTTTACATTGTCTTTTCGAAGTGGTTGAAAGCATATCAACCATAATCGATGGTCCAAACAAAACTGATTCAAAAGAATCTAAGGAAATTGCAATAGAATCAATTACTTCAAAATTGAGATTAACTCGTATAAATGAATTAGATTCTGAAACTAAAGCGCTACATGAATCAATACTGAACTCTAGTTGGAGTGGACTTGTTGCTGCTTTCGCCCTTTTACTTGATGCCTCAACTGACGAAACAATTACCGAAACAATTTTGAAATCTATGGAAAAATTAACTGCACTCTATGGTCTTTATGGGTTGAACACTCCTCGTGATTCCGTCATAACCGCAATGTGTAAAACTTCATTGCCAATTGGATATAATTTACCAATTTTATCTTTTAAAATTCCTACAGCTTCTGAAAATTCATCACCCATCTCTCTTACTCCTTCAGCCTCTACCGGGACTCTCATCTCAAGTACAACTGGGTGTCACAGTCGATCATCTAGTTTTGATCTATCCAATCATTGGGCAACAAGCAATATCAATCTTTTATCAAATAATTCAACTTTACTTCAACAAACTCAACCACCACCCACTTCATTATCCTCTAACCTCTATCTTCGAGGTACCCCACAATCAGAATCATCAGACTTTCGTCAACAAGTTGTCGCTGTTGGAACTCCGTTACCCTCCTCTGTACCTGCAGGCACAAGTACACAGGGACCAGTTATGTTAACCGCCAAGAATTTGCAATGTATGAAAGCCATTCTGGCTGTGGCTCATTCTTATGGATTTGTCTTAGGATCTTCTTGGCATCTTATCCTAACAACTTTACAACATTTAGCCTGGATTTTGGACCTAAAACCCACCACTGGTGGTTCCCTGAAAGTGGGTAAACCAGGAACCGAAGCTGGAGCATCAACCAGCTCACTAATTACCACCGCTGCAATGTCAGATCTTCCTGTTCTCTCCGCAATGCTTTCCAGATTATTTGAATCAAGCCAGTGAGTATTTTTAATCATCCAAAGTTGATTTACAATTCTATTTTCAATCTCTACTCTCAATCAACAAAATGACAAATTGTTCCGTCTCACCACCTAGTCCTCAAATCCTTTCCTTATCACAATTCCCTTTTATTCCCATTTCTAATTGTCATAAAAATCAATTGCTATTGATCCTTAAATCAACACTAACGTTAATCACTCACAACTAAATATATTAATCACTAACTTGTCAATTACTTTTATCCTCTTTAAATGCTGTCACAATCAAGTTATGCGCCTTTGGCAAACTTGTTGTCCCGTGTTTTTTACTGTTCGCAGTAAGTGTGAAATGATATTAATTAATTAACTATTATTCAAGTATTTCATTTTCCTTATCCCTTGGTTAATAGAATTTTATTTGTTTTTATGTTTTCTTAATTGTTTTACATTCGATTTCAATATTATTTCTAATCTATTTTGCTTTCTGTTTATCACTTTTAACCAGGGAATTAGATGATTCAGCTTTACTTCATCTTGTGGAAGCCCTTTGTAAACTCTCAAACGAAGCCATGGAAATGGCCTACAATAATCGCGAACCTTCATTATTTGCTGTTGCCAAAATGCTGGAAACTGGTCTTGTAAATTTAAAACGATATAAAATATTCTGGAAACCAATGACTGATCATCTTCTGCAAGTTTGTCAACATCCACAATCAAAAATGAGGGAATGGGGAGCAGAGGCGCTTACCTGTTTAGTGAAAAACGCGTTAACCTTAAAAGATTTAGAAATTGGTGAGAAATTTAAATTTCTCGATCAACTTCAAGCCATGTCATTTATAAATCATGTCGATATCCGTCAAAAGCAATTAGACTGTGTAATACAAATATTACAATCATCTGGAGACACAATTTCTGAAGGATGGCCTCAAATATTGGAAATAATTGGCTCCATCAATGAGAATCAAAGTGAAAATCTTATTCGTATCGCTTTCCAATGTTTACAGTTAATTATTCGTGATTTTCTTTCATCCATTCCAGCTATTTGTTTAGTCTTGGTTGTCGATACAATTGCAAAGTTTGGCTCTCAAACCCAAGAATTAAATGTTTCCTTGACGGCTGTTAGTTCCTTATGGGACACTGCTGATTATTTATTTTCCAATCGTAAAGTAATTGAAGAGAATCTTGAAGATGAAGTGAATGCTGATCCAAATTCACAAATTCCAGCATATGGTTGCCTATGGATGAGCCTTTTTACCAAACTTGGAGATTTATGTACAGATTCACGACCCTCTCTAAGAAAATCCGCAAGTCAAACTCTTTTCGCCACATTGAGTACTCATGGTGAAATATTAGATTCCAATTTATGGTCATCAGTTCTTTGGAAAGTTCTCTTCCCTCTCTTGGATCGTGTTAGAATTGCGTCCAACTCAGCGAGTAGCGATAAAATTACCGAGGTTCCTAAGTCAATGGGTATTTCTGGAATAGGTGTAAACGGTAACACAGGATCAATTTTACTTCACCATTCTCGTAACACCGCTCAAAAGCAATGGTCAGAAACACAAGTTCTAACCCTTTCTGGTGTTTCTCGAATTTTCAGCCTTAAAAGAGACCAATTTATATCAACTTTAGGCGATTTTGAGAGATCATGGACTCTTTTACTGGACCATATTGAGACTTCTGCTCAATCAAAAAACACTGAAGTTTCAATTTCAGCTTTAAAATGTTTCCAAGATGTTCTTTCATCATCTTATAATCTCTCTGGTCCATTTTCCTCTGCTAATAAAACCGGAGATGGCGATTCTACAAGTAACAGTTCAATAAATAAACCACCGACCATTTCGTTGAACAAATCACACAAAAGTCTATGGTTAACAGCATGGAAAGTGTGGCTTAACATTGGAACCCAATGTTTAAAATATTATTACGAGGATTCTTCATGTGATAGTGGCATTGGTCGTTCATCTCATTCATTTTCTACTTCCTCTTTAACCTCATCTTCATCATCTAATACTTCAAATAATAAGCAGATAAAATCATCAAATGAACAAAATTCATCTTATCTTCCTTCTCAATCTTTCCTTGCCTCTTTGATTCAAATTTTCCCTTTTCTATTACAATTGATCAAAGATTCATTTACAGCCAACGATTTTAGCAATTTATTTTCCGTCCTTGAGAAAGCATTAGCTGTCCCAGTCGATGTTGCCACTCAGGCTTACATGATGTCGTCCACGGCTGCAACCCTACAGGAAATTCAATCAGGATCTGCTACACAAATTCCAGTGACACCTCTTCAAGAATCAATTTTATTTGTCATGGAAACATTTCAAAATGATATTATCGGTAAAGCAACAAAAGGAGACTCACCTGATTCATGGGAACCATTATTACCTTTATTAATTAATCAGTATCTCAATTTTTCATTATTTGCTTGTCATTCACCAAGTACCTCTAAAGTTACCCAGTACCTTATTAACTCAACCAACAAATTCACAGCAAGTGTAAGTGTTTCCTAGTTTTGATACAAAATTTAATCAAAACACTAATCAATTGATTCAATGATTAACTAATCAATCTTAATACTATTTCAGGCTGATTGGACCATGGCTAGTCTTGTACCCTTTGGTGAAAGATGTTTAAGATCTGCTTTAATTTTATATCAACATACAGCCTCTTGGAGATCTGTAATTAAAGGTGGAATACTTCATTCCTTTATTAAGGTAATTAATGGTTAATTAATTTGATTCTATGATCGATTATACTAATGATTCTTATTGATTCTTCAGGCTCTTAAGATCCCGCTTTCTATAAAATATGCTTGTCCCTCACAATCGACATGGAAATTGGCTCATCAAATTTTGTTGAATTGTTTATCGATTGGATTACCAATAGCTCGACAATTTAGTATGTTACTCAAATTCTGTTCTCTCTCTTTTTTTTATTGGCAAATTTGTTTGGAATGATGATTAAATTAACTATCAATTATTGTTATTAGGTGGAGATTTTGTTAGTTTATGGGCCGATTTGGCATCGACTTTGGAAACTTTCCTGTTCTCGATTAGTAAACAACCTTTAAATCAGAGTTTGGAAGAGCAACAATGTGATGAAATTCTTGATGTTAAAGTCGTCGAATTGATTAGAGATAATATTCTTCCTTATGCTGGACAAATGCCCAAAGAATTTGTTTTACAAATAGTATCAATACTAAACAAAGGATCAATTCATTCTGCGACCAATGGATCACCAATCGGTTAGATTTTTCGTTGATTATGATCAATCGATTATAAGTAATTTTTTTCTTTGTTATTAATTTGATTTTCTCTTTTCTTTCTTCATTATATTTCTTGGTTTACATTTACAGAATCGACTAGGAAATTGCGAGAAGAATTTGCTAGATGTTGTTTCGATACTCTTCTTCAATTCTCTTTTCTTGGTCCTAAAGGTAATCCCAATCTTTTCATACAAACACCAAGTCTATCAGCCCAAGGATCAACCACTCTAGCAACTCCTGTAACTGATATCGGTTTGGTGAATAAACTAGTGGTAACTTCATTATTACAACGATTCCATGAGGTTGTTATCAAATATGTGGAAGATGAAAAGCTTAGTGGTAAATGTCCTTTACCAAGACACCGAATGGCTGAAATATCATTCGTTTTACAAGCTTTGGCTACATTGACTTCTTCCATGAAGAAAGCACCACCAGACACAGGTATCAATTGATTTGTCATCTCATATTTTCCATGATATTGATATGGATCATGTTTTCTAATTTTCCTTATTATTTTCCTTTAACAGTTGAACACGGAGTTTGGGAACAAATGATTTCTCTTTATCCACATCTAGTTGATTGTACAATGTCTAATTGTGCCCAAGTTAATCGAGCTTTAAGAGAGGTACTACACGAATATAAGGATCTACTTCATCCTCCATCACACGTTAAACCGACAAATAGCCAAAAGATTTTTATGAATGGTAGTTGACGTTTGTGATTTGTTTTTAATCAGCTGCTTATTTATAACGTAAGGACCAAAGAGTAACAAACTCTCTCTCTCTCTACTCTTTGGTAAGGACAGATTCTATGCTGATTTGATAACTCAAGTATAATTATTACTAAAGAGAAAACTGATCTTTCTTTTTATTACCATTTAAAGTTGACAAAAAAAAGTGTATGTGTGTTTGTAAACAAAGTAAAACACCTTCAAGTCAATAAGTCAATTTGTTTTGTCACATTTCTTCAACAACCATAGCATTTTGTTGAACATCCATTGGAATAATTTTCTGACACTTTACCATGGTTTCATTGAGGTTCTTCATAGTGACTTGTATTTTTTCAAACGATTGTATCCTTTTATTGATTGTATCAATTCCTTGACTAAGTTCACGGCTTTTAATGATAATCTTTTTTGTATCTTCAATGGTTTCTTCAATGTCAGAAACTATTTCCAAAATAGATTCTGTTAGCTCTTCATCTTCATTAAGATTACTGCTAATTTCATTATGAATTTTTTCCTCCTCATTGAGAAAATCATCAAAACAGCTCTGTGTAACAGAAGAAAAAGATTGAAACAAAACAAAACAAAACAAAGAGAATAAATTAAATTAATTTGAATTATTTGCATAAAACAATTAAATCACCTTAATGAAATTAAAATAAACTTTATCCGCTTTAATGGCAAACCGTTTAAAACGATCAACCCGTTTGGTTACCAGTTTATTGTTGAAACGATAATCTTCAACTAGAGTTTTGGTCAACTCATTGAAGATTTGATTAAATTGGGAATCAAATTCTTCCATAATCACAATTAACAATAAGTAGATTAAATTAATTTGAGTAAACAAAAAGGAGACACAAAAATAAAAAGTAACAATAAAAACAATTCAATTGTAAACACAATCGTTTACGCGCCAAAGGAGGAGCTTAGAAAAGAAGGCGCGTAATTTAAACTAACGAAAAAGTTTTAATTTGAATTTGATTTTCGATTAAAATTTGTTTTTCTTTCCTTTTTTTTATTAATTGTTATGGAAACAAATAGAATATTGTTTCTTAAAAATTAACACAGAATCAGGATAATGCTGATGATGGTTTAGTTTTTGTTTTCTTTGTTTGCATTATATATCAATTTCATTCACCAATTTAAATGGAATGGAATTTTTAATTTTAATAACAAATTTTGTGTATCGATTTAATTGTATTTAATTCATCACAGCTTATCATTAATGATCAAGTTAATTGTGTTTAACTGAATGTACAAGTTTTCGAGTGATCATTTGAACATTTCGATTAGAAGCAGAAAGAATCAAGGAAAAAAAAAGTAATTGCAAATTGTAATTCCAATCCATTTGTAATTGATCCCATTCCAATCAACAATTAACGTAAAGTTTTGGATTCAAGTTGTAATCAAAGTTTATATCAAACTCAACCAGAGATAATATTAGATGATTATTATTATTTTATGGATTAAATTGTGGTTTAATTTTGGATTGGTTGCCAAGGCAACGTTCTTTGAGCATTTAACCAGAAAGGAATGAGCCAAAGTACAAGATATTAAATGATGACGATGAAAACGATATTCAAAATTGTCCATCAACGATAATGAGCCAGAAAATAATGACGATAATAACATGGTAATACTCTGAATATCAAGAGTGTCAGATTTATCTCAGATGAACCCATGGAAACTGAGCAATGTTGAAATCTATCGAAGAGAGGGAAAGAAAAACATTCGAAAATCAGAAAACTTATTGAATAATAGTTAATAAATTAGTAGATTAAAAAGAGAAGAAAAAAAAATAATAATATTTATATTGAACAATAAATTCTAAACTCATATAATAATAAATATATTGTTTCAACAATCCAGGGTTAGTTATCCTTCATGGGAACAGTTATTTACATGGTTAGATAATAATATCTCTGGATGGAAAAATATTTCATCTCTGTAATGTAAACATGATATTACTATTACCATGAACCATTGAACCATTGAGATTAAATTGAGTGAAAATAACAATACAAGTTCATGGGGCCAATATACAGAACATAGATAGATAATTTCTGTTATCATATCTTCAAAATTGTATCTATTTTTTTTGTTCTAACCTCTTGGTACAATATTGATAACATGGAGAGGGAGAAAAAGTGAGAATAGGATAAGAAGAATGTTCAATTTCAATAATACATATTCTATTATATGGATAGATTGAAATGAGAAAAACAAAATCAATTCTTCATGGTCACGTATCAGAATTTTGGTTTTCTATCCAATTCTCCTGAACAATATAATATTAAATTCTGATACAAACTGTTACTTTAATCCTTTTTCCTTCATGATTTAGTTGATAATCTCATTGGTAGGATAAGATAATAAATTTGTTTTCCAACAAATTATTTAGATTGTAAAACAAAAACCTCTAGAAAATCAACTTTTTATTATCGTTTTCTTATATGTTTATAATAAAATCATCGGTCTATTATTATTGATAGCAGATTAACTGACCACATATTGACCATTTAGTTGTATTAAACAACAATGTTCATCTCATGTTTCCTCGTTATCGAATCTCTTTCAATTTAATCAAATAATATCATATGAATTCCTTCAAGTTTAACCTACTTTCAGAACTTTTTTTCGCCATGATTTAAGATTTAATTTCAAATTTTGGTTCATCATCAATAAAATAAATTTCTCTGTATTTGAATGATAACAATAGAAAATGTTGATAATATAAATAAAAAAAAAAGGTTCTCATTGTGGTCAAAACAATTGGTTAACTTTAATCACTCTAATCAAACTAATTCATCAGGGATTAAGTGAATCTCTTGACTTACTACATCCTTGTAATATTATAATATATTCACGTTGGTGAAACTAACGGTAAATTTATCATTCATGATAATCAGAATAGAAACTTGAGTTCTACTAATAGTTGATTAGAAAAAGTAAATTGTAGTTGTAGTGAAATTTCAACCTAATTAATGGATTCCTTGAGTTTCACCATTTTCTTTACTTTTTGATTGCTGTCAACTTACAATGATTGATGAATTTTCCCTGAACTTTTTTTCTTACCTCTTTTTTTTTTAATTTAAATTCAAGTTTCACGTTAATTAATGAATAACATGGTTAAGATATACATGTATATATGTATGAGAAAAAAAAAAGGTTCCATATGGAAAATGAATGAATTTAAAGTGTAATATATTTTCAGGGGAAGAAGAGAAAAGTGAATTAATATAAACAGAAACAGAAAATTCCTGTAAATTCAGATGTATCTTCAGAATCCTCATGAATCATTGAAAACTTTTTCTACTCTCTTTTCTGGGTGGCTCGTTTAAATTATAATATCGGTTAAATATTTATATGCCCATCAAATATTTACAATTAAAAGTTTAGTTTACATAATTGATGAGATGATTACAGGTAAAAATTGTATCAAAAGTTGATAGTTGAATTTTTCATGATAACTTTTTTCATAACTAAATTTTACCTTTTCACTTATCCATTCAGATCATGGTGATTTTGATGATTCTCTTCATTTTCCAATGTACATAAATATTATTTTGTTAATTGTGTTGATGGTTCAAGTTAATTGAAGTTTTATTTTAAATTGTTCACAATGATAAAGATGAAGATAATGTATATAATATTATTATATATATAAATACATGTGTAACTGTTGAAAAGGTGATGTTGATGTTGATGTTGATGATAATTGTGAAGATTAAGATTAATGAGTATTATGGTTAATATATAAATCATTGGATTATTATTATCTTTACATTTCTGGATTCAGGTTCATGTCATACTCCGTTGACGCTTCTTACATAGGGTGGAGGTGGAAGGCTTTTATATTTTTCTGGATACGGATAATTAACTGAATCATCATGTCGACAATGGTGAAGAATACGAGAAATACATTGGCAACAAAGAATTATAAAGAATAGACACATAATTCCCATGAGAATGATCAGGGAAAGTTCCAATTCCTCATCAGTATAATTACCACCACAATCAGCGCAAACTGCTTTTTCCATTTTAACAATTTGAAAGAAATCAAAGAAATAAAAGTTGATACAATTAATAATTAACCTTTTTCAAATGATGTAAATGTCAATTGATTTCTCATATTAATGAGAAAACAATTTAATAGATCAGAACTGAATCAACTTATTATTATTATTAGAGAAAAAAGTTTTTCCATTTGATTGAACTAAACTCGAAAAGTTCAATATTATCTCTTGTGTTTAATTAACGAGCTGAAAATTAATTGTTATTTCGGATTTACATGTAGTATATAATATACTTGATTAAGATTAAATTGTTATTGATTAGCTGTAAATCTTTGATTATACCAAGAGATTGAATTGATTGTGTGTTGTGACTTTGACTTTCATTATCGTTTTAATTGTTTACCTTTTCTTTTGATTATTATTAATTTTAACCTTAATAATAATCTCAACTATAGTTAAGATATAATTATGATTAAGGGATGGGAACATTGTATTGTTAATATGATTTAGTTGATTCTTTGTAGCAATTTAATCATCAGTCTTTTGTTTTTCATTTTTCTTTCTTCTTCTCCTTTTATAATATATAATATTTGTTACATGTTAGACTACATGATAATCTAATTCCATAATATTAATAATAATTCATAAATTATATAACCAAGAAAAGCATTTAATTAACATACAATTTATTATAATAAATTGATTGATGAGCTTAAGACAAAGTATATTAACAAGGTAAGATGCACTTATCCTTAATTGTTGTACCTGATTCACAATAATTTTACTCAGTAATTGCAATTATCTTTTCACATGGTGGAAATATTTTTTCATGTAAACTCTGTGAATCAGAATTGAGATTCTGACAAAATGAAAGTTCCAAAAGTAAATATTAGAACTTTATTTTTTTTATTCTTATTCTTATTTCTTGCTCATTTTGAAAATCTTTCTCTCTCTATTATTGTCAACCAATCTAATTGCTCTTAATCCTTTTTAATCATTTAAAGCTCATTAAATATCTTGATCATCACCAACATCTTCATCTTCATCTTCATCTTCATCTTCATCTTAATCATTGTCTTGGGTTTTTTGTTGTTCTCGATAACAAAATACGAGAAAAAAAACTATGTAAGTGTCAAGCTGAAAGAACTAATTGATTAACAATTAAATAGTCAATTTTGTGCATTAAACTTTAATTAAACAAGTAATTAAGATAATTAGTCTCATTTTGACTTGTTTTTTTGTTCACCCTGACAATTTGGTAATTTTTATCATACTGATTGTTGCTAATCAGGCAAAAATATCAATGTTGCCTTGATATTATTATATAACAGTAAAGTTATCACAATTTACTTGATTCGACTAATTGAAATGATAACAATTAAGTCTACGAACAGTTTATAAATCGTCCTTTAATCGGGTAAACAACTTTTCAAACGAAATCTGGAAAAGGCTTAACTTTATCCTAATGTAATCTGGTCATTTTGTGTCCAGTTTTCTATTAATAGTAAAAAGTTTTATCAAATGCTGAGAAAAAGGAAGACAATAGAAGTCAAGATTATCTCTTTTCTTTTCATGATGAAAATGCCAATGAAAATATCATGAAACTTGAACCACAATGAAGCAGATAATTTTCCCCATCACCTGAGCTTTTGTTGATAAAAGCTTCTAGTGAATATAATTTTCTGAGTAAAGTTTTCTATCAGCAAATGAAGGGAAATCAGTATCAATTGGAAATAATCGAATGAAAAAAAAAATCTTACCATGCAAATAATTAGAAGGTAAATGA